AGTGTAGAACAACAGGTGAACAGAAAAATCCCGTACAATATAATGTCCTTTGATACTACATTTATAAAGGAATCTTTTGCCTTAAATATTGATGTTCAAAGTTCATTCTAGACCTTGGAAACAGCAGTTGACAAAACAGTCTCACCTCAAGGTCCATTTACTAGCTGTTCTGGATTCTCATCTGCTGATGACAACTGTGTGATATTGTGATGTGCACGAAAGCTCCAAAACAACTTCTAAAAGACCTGAGGTGAGATTGGTTTTGGTGAGATTTGAGAAGCTTACCATTATGTTCAGATTCTTTTTTAGGCTGGTTTAAGAGTGTTGATTCGAATCTGTGGTATATTTATATGTTTGTGGTAATGCATTGGATTGTTTTATAGTGTAATATGTTTTTATGTCTTTTGCAACACTCCCTCCTCATACAGATGAAGTACAGTGACAGAAAGTGGCCACACCAGAAAAATAAGCTGCCACACTTCATTATCTACTCATTAATTGTCTTATTTGTCAACCATAAATTAATTACATATAACAGATTGAGAATATCTATATTTTTAGCTGAGTTGATTCAATGCCAAGTAAAACCCACACAATCTTTCATAGGTGTGTGTTTTTGTAACTGTCATAACACATTGCACCTTTTGTGCTCAGCTCTGATGGAGAGGGGGGAAAGTGGTTCCCTGGCAACTTTAGGGAACAGCTTGTGCATCCTTGTCACATTGTCATGTGAATGATAGCCGAGGGCCATCTCAACAGTTTCGGGCCGTCTGTCTGTGAATTATTTATCAAAGAGGGAGACGGTGACATTTCTACACCCTGTGAGAACAGGAGAGGGTGATGTCTCTCTCAGTGATTTTCCTCACAGGTGGGGTCGATTTAAATATAAAATTTCTCTGTTTACAAGTTAAGAAGATACCATGGTTCTCATTTTGAATGTATAGGGCTCAGTGTTAAGCAGTGTAAGAGCCAAATTCAATACCAGATTTATCTCCTCAGAAAAAAAACTGCTTAGGCATCACAAATATTTGCTCACCCTTAATGCTAAATGTATTTGAGCAGCAGGTTTCAAACGTTTACTATCACTGTGTAGAGGATTTTAATACTGCTTGGATTGCTCCACTTGAATTACTAAATTTTTAAGTAACTTTAAATATTAAGGTTTTGTTTTTGCTATGATGGGGTTTTTGCCTCTCTTAAAAGGATGCACTTTTCAGAAATAACGCATAGCTCCTGTTGAATTGTTAGGATGTGTTTGGGAATTGCGCGAACACTGTCAACAACATTGAGTGAGGCAGGCAGGCCGTTCGATAGACAGACATGAAGAAGCATGCTGAGACTGAGCACAAACCTCAAAGCAACAGAATACAATGAAGATCCTGACTCCCCAAGGTCAACACAGGCACCCACTGCTGCTGCTGCTCTTCAGTCAATGCAGCCAGCACTATCTCCTGGTTACCACAGCAACTCTGACTACCGGCCTCCTGTAGTCAGTCACTGCATTATCAACACATACACACAGATGGCAAGCAGGGGTGGCTGTACACATGCACGCAAATTCTGTACACACACTCTCCCATGTCAGCATGCTCATTCATATTCTCGTGCAAATATGCGTGCACGCTGAGAAACAGACGCACACAGTTCCTCACAATCACGAACAAGCTTATCACTGTTATCTTGATGTTTGTCAGCCAAATGCTTTTCTCTTTTCTGTGTGAGCAGCAATGCTGCTTTCTCTGAATGTTAAAGCGTGTCTGCTAAAAAAAACAGTCTTGGAAAACTGCAAATGGGTAAAAACCTTGGAAAGGAAGGAAACAAATTGGTTGGTTTTAGATTATTAAGTAAAATGTGGGTTGTTTGGCTGTTACAGGGTCTCATGGGGACAAGCTATGCTTCTAAAACTCTCAGACTAAAAGCAAATACCTTTTATTTCTGTGCAGCTGATGCAGGTTAGGTATCCTAAGATTTCCCTATATTCCAAAGACTAATGACAAACAATGATCTGATTATGGTGAGAGGCAACTCCAGGACTAAGATGGATTTCTGGTTTGTTTCCTTGCTCTGTAGTCACTGCACATAAGCAGGAGTTGGAGGCTCTGCTTTTGATTCAGTTTTGCCAGATATGCACTTGAAAGGTCACATCTCATATTGTGTCCGAGTATCAGAAGGCTTTTATTACATTTCACCACTTTGTGTCTTAAAAGCTCCTATATATTCGCAACCTGAAAGGCAATGCATTGTGATCCACATGCCGTTCTTTCCCACACTTCACTGAACAGGATTCACATTATACAAACTTTTCTTTTGTGAAACATGGCTGCAATTTTTCCGGGCTCCGTGCATCTGGTGTTTGTGATTTGAGTGATTTGTCATGAAGTGCTAATGTCTGACTCATAAGTCACCCATGTCATAAACGCCTCCCTATGTGTTCACAAGGTCCTAACAATACATTCACAACAAATAAAGCTTTTTTTAGGCAGTCTCAACAAAGTGTTATGATGATCTAGATATTTTTACCTCTATCTTACAATGAACCCTAATCTCCATGTTATGTTGCAAGCACAGATTTTAGACAAAGGTTGACAGAAAGGTTGAGACTGATTTCAGTGATTACTTTTCTGCTCCTATTTGTCATTTCGTCTCTACGAACGCCTCCTCCGCTTCCTTTTACCATTTCCTCATATGAATGTCAAAATGTTGAAGGTTAATAATAAGTTAATTGTGAGCTACAGCGCTTTGATACATGGCTCCCAATCATGTGGCTTGACAACAAAGTAGAGGACATTTTTATTTTGGATCCAGGCCATTACTTTCCATTTCCTAATGTCTATGATTCGATTACACATCCATTAGTTCACTGGCAATCATGTCTTTACCGATAGGTCACAGTTCCCTGCTGCACTCTATAGTAGCTGTCCAGCAGATGCTACTGTACAGTACATGCCTGATGAACTAATAAGGCAGAATATACTTCAGGCGCGTATTCTGAAGGCAGGTATGGTTGAGCTTTGACAAGACTGCACCATGTTCATTGAACTCATATTGCATCTGCAGCTTTGTGTCATACTGTGGAGATAAAGTGGGACTGGAGCATGTGTAGTTCGCTTGATCTGGCCTGCCATCTGCTTTGAATCCAGATGGGAGAGAAAAATAGTTAAGGGACATTTGATTAGATCTGAAACAATTAGTCAATTTTAAGTAAAAATGCCAAAAAAATTAACTGGTTCCAAATGCATAAAAGTGCAAATTTGCCAGTTAGTTAGTTACATGTCATTTTGAAGACATTATATGACAATTGGGTATGTGGTGGTCATTTTTTAATATTTTGTGGCATTTTTATGGAACAAACGATTAATCTTGGAAATTATCGCAAGTTGTAACAAAGCATTGTTTTCATAATCGATGGATCAGCCAGTTTAGTTCTCTTGATCTGTTGATGACTCATGTGGTCTCTAAAAAAAAATGTCACAAAATAGAAAAGCCCAAGGTGATGTATTAAAAAAAATTTTCTAACAGTCCAAAACCATCATTTGAAGAAAGGCAGAAGAACTTTACATTTAAAAAGCCTGAACCAGTGAATGTTTGGCACTTTTGCTTGAAAAATCAATCACTAATGACATAAAAAAGTCTAAATACTTGCTGTTTTAATTTTCTCCCAACCGACTCATTGATTATTCGACTAATTCAGCTCAAATGATGATCGTCGTTTCTCATTTGAAAACAGAAATCATTACATTCTCTAAAATGTTAACAGTCTGTATCCCCAAAGAACTACATTCACTTTTTTGCAAGATTTACTTTGATGCCAGTAGTCATTGTTGTTGAGTGTGAGATTTCTCAGGCACAGGATATCCCACTCTGAAATAAAAGTGATGTCATATTCACTCAAGCACATATTGTATCATGCAGCAGTGAGGGGGGTGAGGGCTCGGGTTTGTCAACAGCTTCTCAACAAAAGACCTCTGAGTTCTGCAGCTGAAAACGTAACAAGAACAGAATTACTGTAGGTGTGTTTCAGCTGTTTTTGAAACAGTCCACTGCTCTGCAGTACCTCTATCGCCAGGGGCGATTAAACCGGGGGCGGAGCTAGACTATCAGGGGCGTGGCTTCATCACAGGGCCCATCTGCTACCAAGTCATTTAAACCAAGTTTATTGTTTCATATATCAACAATAAACAATGTTAGATTAGACAGAAAAGAAACAATTTAACTATGTAGCCTTCTTAATCATAGTAAAAGCAAGCACTAATCACCAAATCAACAAAATCTAAACATGTCTGCAAAATCCAGCAGCAAAATGTTATTATTCTGAAATGCTCCCTGTGGTAGATGCTATATGCACCCATCAAGACGAGGAACGAAAGCGGGCCACAGAGAGCTGTGAAGAATGTAGTAGAAGCACAAAAAGGACATATTAAAAACAAGTGTTTAACTTGGGGCAGGCTGTACGCTCCGCTGCTGAAACACTTCCGCTTCCAGTGGCCTTTGACGCCATAAATAAACCGTTGCACACACGCAGCCTATGCCCGTCATTATTACCATAACAGCTTATAGCAAGCCATTTTAACATTTATTGCTTAAAACTAATAACTAATGAATAAATAGTTTTAAATAGTGACGTGTACTGCTTTTACAGTTAGCCATAGTCAGTATTCAATCGCGGGAAATGTAAAGGGCTGCAGCGGGTCACTTCAAAGAAGCTCCATCACAGAGCCGTAGCACAAGCATGACTGACAGGCGGAAGGAGAAGTAGTTCCTATCAACTGAGTGTAATTAGACCATCCTGGTAATAGTGTGATACTTAAATAAAACACACACTCACTCCAAATGACTGAGTATCGATCCTAGAGCAAGAAACGCTGGTATCAGAAATATCGATACTTTAGTATCGATCCTCACATCACTGGTCAGTAGTGAGATTTAGATATTCTTTCCTGTTATCTTATTGTGACCATGTATCACTAAAATCCATGTATTTCTTTGTATATCTTTTTCAGATATTCACACGCTATGGGAAGTGCTACACCTTTAATTCAGGGCAAGATGGACGACCCCTCATGGTGACGATGAAGGGTGGGATGGGCAATGGCCTGGAGCTGATGTTGGATATCCAGCAGGATGAATACTTGCCTGTATGGGGAGAGACTGGTAAGCTTAACTGGAGGATAAATCACATTAAACATCCCATTCTCAATTCTGAAGGCCTCAGCTCAAACCGCAAGATTGGTGTTTATTTTTACCCTTAAGCGAGTGCTTGAGATAAGAAGAGATTTTTTTAATCAACTAAACAAAGTAGCCAGTTTTATTCAGTGTTGGTTCTCTAAGACGTCTCAGGGAGAAAAAACTATCACAGAGATTCCCCCTATCCCTCAGATAGAGGCGGGACTAGGCTACAGTCCCCTCCAAAAGTATTGGAACGGGAAGGCAAATTCCTTTGTTTTTCTTGTTCACTGCAGAACTTTGGGTTTACGATCAAAAAGTGAGTATGAGAATGTTTGTTCAATGGCTCTGGTCGATTTTCCTTCTTTTCTCAGCTTGACAATGGCTTGCTTTTCTCCCATAGACAGCTCTCTGGTCTTCATGTTGGTTTATCCTCTTTAACAGGAAATACAGTCTTTGTAGGTTTGAACCAAGGATGAAAACTTAGACTAGTCATGCAGAGCTTTAATGTTTGGACAATAAACCTAAAAGGCAACACCTGGGCAACAAGAAACATCAGTCACATGTTCCAATAGTTTTGCTCACTTGAAAAATGGGTGGGTTCAAACAAAGGGTGGTATGTCCTGAGTTGTTTAACACATCTAGATGTGAATACCAGGAAATGAGAGCTGAAATTCTGAACTCTTGTCTCATACTCATCTTTTGATCTTAAACCCAAATGTCTTCAGTGAAAAACAAAAAGAATTTGCCTTACCATTCCAATACTTTTGGAGGGGACTGTATATTGTACTCATTGCAAGCACTTTGAGGTCATCGTTAAATCCTAAATCCATTTAGTGTCGTGAACATGTACATACTTTAGACCACATATGTTAAAAGAGGTTTTATCTGTAGCAATGTATGCTCAGTTATGCAATGAAATATACAATTCTCTGAACTGTTCTCTACACTTTCATTAATTATGAGCGATGATCCTGAAAAATGCTCCCTCTGATCCTTTGAAATGCACCCACCCACTGTGTCCACTGAATATTATCGAGTAATCTGTATAAAGACAAATGGATATTGATCTGGAAAATTTGATTTCATTGTAATATAATTGTATTATTTGTCAGTTAGGCTTCAAGTCCATATGAATCAAAATAGGAGCAGAACCCTTTTGCCAGATTTAAAATCAATAGGCTACAGGCTCTTCCATTCAGGGACGACCCCTCATCAACACTGTTGTCTCCTGCGTGCTGCTCCAGGAGACCCTGGACTTTGTTTTTAATGCAGCTGTATATACTGGTGTTTGTTAATATCAATATCTGATATGCTCTAAGCAATGAATGTAAAGAGACAGCTCATTGTGGTCACAGAAACACTGCGCATGACCATTAAACGTGAAGCAGAAAGCGGTGATGTGACTATAATATTTAAATATAAAGCTGCACCTACACCTAGCCTAAATTATTTAATAATATTAATATATAATGCTCTTTATGTAAGATTATTTAATGATTAAAGACTTTTACAAGAGGGGATGTGGAGGAAACCTAAGGATGGTGCAGTGACTACAATACATACACAGTCATACTGTGTACTTCATGCTTTTCATTATTCAAAATTTTTTAGTATTACTGATGACATTTTTTTTGTTTTTTCAAGGGGATTGGTTTGCAGTTTTCAATATATTTTGTAGGCAACGCTTAATATTATTTGTTAAAAGTCGAATCTTTTAGTGAAACTACCAGAAAACTACAGAAATTAAAATTAAAGTCAGGGAAAATATCACCCACCTGTTCGTTGAACATCATATTTTGGTTTTCCAAGGACCTGAAGCTTTTGCATTAATGCCAAAATTATGCAGATTGTCTATTAATTAGTCCTATTATAACTGCATTTATTACCTGTTTGTTTAATCTGGCTGGATGCCCTGCACTGCATAATGTGCCAGTTCAAACACCTGGGGCCTCATTTATCAAAGTTCTAAATGCGTGCTTAGGAACTGTAATACGAGAAAATTGGTGTTTATCACACATGTACACGCACAACAATGATGAATCTCACCTATTTATCCATCTTGTTGTGCATGTACAGGCTCACTTACGTACAGAAACACCTCCACAATGCCAAATATGGTCAACACATCCTTCTGAAAGTCCTAGTAGCCTTAACGTAGAGTAAGTTATTGTGGACAAAAGTACCAAACAACAAAGAGCTGTCTCTGCAAAGGATTTCGGGCCTTAAGTCTCATTTTATGTGTTCCATAGTGTTACTTTCTGTTCTACAACGTTTGTACTATTTACACATTTCATTAGCCACTTGTTGCTTGGTGTGTACAATTAGTCAAGGTCTCCTAGCATGCAAAATTTTAGGTAAGAAAAGATGTTGCACCTGTTGTTACAGTTGTTGATACACAGGCACCTTTTTCCAGAAAAAATGGCTAAAATAACATACCTAAAATGAATCAGGAATAACTCCTCAACCATTTGGCCTAGATGCATAATTCTGGTCTCCTTTGAAAAGTCAGAAGCTAAGGAATATAAATCCATTGTATATTAATATATTTATTTTACTATTACAGACTACATGGAGATGCAATAAAGAAAAAATCTGATATTTTCATCCTCGCCTGGTAAAAAAAAGCTATATTTTAATGCAATAAACCATCAAAACCATCATAAGGAAGCTTATAATGCAACTGAATATCTTCTAATACACCTAGAATGCAATTGTAACTGTAAATCTGATGAAAATAAACTAAAATACAACAGTTATCGTCGAACATTTTCAAAATATACCAGGCGAATGTCCATATTTTGGCAATATTTACTGTTAAAATGTTGGTTTTTATTGGTAGATACCTTTAAAACACTTTTCTGTCCATACAACCAAGTTCCAAATGACAAAACATTGAAATATTGATAAAAACAGTGAGTATTCATCAACATTCCTGTCACCAAAAGCACACCCATGCTTTACAGGCCTGTAGATTGAGAACGGAACATCCCACAGTGATGGGGCATCAATCGATCCGGCCTGAGAAGACCTTTCATTTGGCACCCTGCATGTCTATGTATCTCCAATGCTGTGTTCTCAAGCGGTACGTTTTCTCTCTGAGAGCAGGCAGGCAGCTCGCAGGTATTGCGCAATAATCAAGATGGTGTCTGCTGAGACTCGAAGCAACAACATCGGCGGGTTTTCGACTTAAAACGACGGGAAAAAAAATTTCAGTCGGTAATTTCGCCCACAGCACGGCTGCCCCCGGTACCGAGGGCGTCTGTTTTCAGCAGGTTAAACCAACCTGTTTTACTTGACGCTTCCACAAGTTTCTTGTCCAAAGATAAATTATTAAGCATTACAACAGTAAGCATAAAACTGTGTTGGGACAGGTGACTGTCAGATGACTCACTCAGGTTTGCAGTATGGAAAATAGACACTGGAGATGGTAACACTACCGTCTAATTCATTAGAAATTTGCTCTTAATTATCTTTATAAATTAACTTTTTAACAGTTTCAGCATAACAGAAAATATTACTTAGTTAAGAACAGTTAAAATGGAATCAAAATGTAAGTGTTCATTATTAATGCAGATTTATTACAACTGAATGTCATGTCAACAGATCCTCTGGATCTTTTGTATGATGCCACAGGTACTCTGTGATGCAGTACCAGAGAAACTGGTGGAAATAGAGGTACTAAGGGCATAATTTCACTGTGAAAGAAATGATTTCCTTGTTGTCTAAAGAAAAACAAAAATGGGTTTGTGTGCTTGTAATTTGAGAATTGGGGTGCCCCTGATTATGCCTGTGTACCACAAAGGGTTTGTTGGTATGCCTGGTCAGGGGTAATGCTATATGTATGCACATTCTAAAGCACAAGAAGAAATTGATGAAATAGCCTAGATTCTGTGCATAGAAATTAGTGTACTCATGGTTTAAGCACAAACCTGTGAGTATGCACGGTTGATAAGCTTACTCCCGGGACAGGACGTCACTCTATTCAAGTGTCAGTCTAACATATCGACACTCCGATTCATACCTACAGGCAATTCAGAGTTTTTACTTCACCTGAGCTGCATGTCTTTGGACTGTGGGAGTCAACAGCAGCAACCAGAGTTAACCCAGGCAGACATAAGGAGAACATGCAAATTCCTCACAGAAACATCACTGCGGGATGGATCAAACAGTTCATGCTGTGAGGCAACAGTGAGCACCACTGAGGCCCCATCCTGCTCAAATAATAGCCAAAGAGCTCAGCATGATGAAATAAAAAAGAAATCTAAGAAAATGTAAGTGGGCAAGTGTGATCATGCAGTTTGATCAAATATAGAATTTGATTTTACACCTAAGCTTAGGATTTTCTTGTTCAAACTATAGCTACAGTCTGTCTCCAGGTTACATTTACTGTTTTGTGCGTTTTGTTGCAAACCTGAAATGATTTAACAACAAAGCACAAGCAATAAAATTACTTTGAGGCAGCTGAACTTGCTTGTATAGACTGAGTTTAGTCCACATATTGTTTAAAATGTAAAAGGATGACAGACAGCCATGACTTAAAGATGGCGTGCACTTTTTGTGAGCTGGAGCTTGGGCACTGCTCATGTAGAATGCTGCTCCAAGCCTGAAGCATTTGTCTTGGCAGCAGCAGAAAATGGCTTTGTATCCCATCTCAGAAGAGCAGTGTGTAACGGTTAAAGTCTGTTGCTCTTTGTCGAGGCTCTCTTGCTGAATTCCAGCCGCATCCCTGAGCTCTTTAATTGAAAATAGTGAGAAAGCCTGGCACTTAGAAGACGAAACCGAGTGACAAGTGTGGATGAAAGGCAGCAGGAAACAGACATCCTACTTTATCCCTGAGCCAGCGCTCAAAGGATCTAAATCTCTTGAATCCAGCCTGCCATCACCACGATAAGCATTTCCAGGTCTCTGCAAATGTGATAGAAATATGTTTTGCATAAGTAGAGGTTTGAGTCACCATGTCATTGTGATGTTCCACCAATCTCAGTATCAAAGAGGACCATCAGCTTCATTCAAAATATATACAGCAGAGTGCTATAGGGAAGGAAGCTGTGAGCTGTATTGATTTTCCTTTTATCCTCATCGTTGTTTATTTATTAATTAATCCATTCACTTTCATTTCCCCCTTTCCCCTGCAGTAAATAAGACTCCTGTGGGGCGCAAACTCTCATTAACCGCCCTACTTAGGAAGTCCATCTTCCTTATGCTTTCACTCTTCATTCTAGCTATTGTTAACTCCTGAAAGACCACAGTGTGTTTGTCATCCCTCAAACACCATAGGTGTAGCTAATGAGTAAGCACTGACTCCTTAGGAATGGTTCTTCCCAGCTCAAATAAGACAACAAGTTTATTAAATTCTTTTTAAGATCTTGTTTCTGTCTTGTTTTTCACTCACGGGCTAAACCATTCCACTGCTGCAAAGCTTTTTCTCTATTTGATTATTAACAACTGCAGCTGGATAGATGATGCAGGCCAATGTGTTCATATAAATAATAATGCCTGTTGTAAATGTCCTAACTTCTTCTTGTCTACAGACGAGACATCGTTTGAAGCGGGGATCAAAGTTCAGATCCACACCCAGGACGAGCCGCCTTTCATAGACCAGCTGGGCTTTGGAGTGGCGCCGGGGTTTCAGACCTTTGTCTCCTGTCAGGAACAACGGGTACGTCTTGGGAAAGATGACAGAAATGAATACAGAACTACAAAAATATATCTCAGCACATTTTGCCAGGGAAAATCTAAGTAAGTATTGGCCTTTTAATCTATTTTGAAGATTCCAAAGAGATAGTGTGTACATCAAACAACTTTTGCACTGTCAAAAGGATGTCAACATAAAATGACTCACTCCATCTTTAATAATAATAACCTTCATTTGTATAGCTTTTCTAAAACAATTTTACAAAGTTTTGTTGCAAGATCTGACGTAGGTGCAGATACACATGGGCACAAAAGCCCGTATATGTATGCTGGAGCATGGTGTGATTTAAAAGAACTTGAATCAAAACCTGGTTGATAAAACAGGACTACCTCATTAATGTAACAATAGAAACTTAGATTTTAATAAAAGATTTCTGGCTTAATAAAGACAGCCAGGTTATCAAATGTATCTTTAATTCTGATGTATTTAATGACCCAAACAGTATTATTTCTTCAATGAGCACATCAGACTGCTGGCGTGTCCTGATTTTACTGACACAAAGTTGTGTCATCAGCATAGCAATGAAAAAAAAGACAAAGCAAAGCTTTCTTATGGCATTGAGCCAATCAGTTTATATGTACATAGAATTCAGGATATGCTAGTCTCTCTTGATGTGTTATTTGTATTTACAAGTAGTAATATATAGTATATATAGTAGTAGTATTCAAAGTGGAGATACAATGGTGAGGAAGAGTGTCAGCAAGGGAAAGGTCTAAATGCAGACAAAGGAAGCAGAGTGGACCAGTTCAATGATTTACTAAATAAGGGTTGAGACTTACAGGACAAGGAGCAGACAGGAATCCAAATTTCAAATAATCAGGCAGGTTCCAGGAAACAAGCTTGAAATCAATGGCAACATTATAACTAAAATGGTGTGGCAGGGAATGAATGATATTGGGCCCGTATATGAACTGGGAGGCTGATGAGGGAATGAGGAGCAGGTTGTGGGCAGGGAAGGCCACGTAACTGAGAGCAGCTGAGGGAAGTGGGAAAAGGTGTGTAGATGGGAACTCAGGTTATGGTCAATGGAGGGAAAATCTGAGGGCATCTTGGGACTGGAATGGAGATTGCAATGAAGGGGCCAGTTTCATTTTTGTTTTATTGTCCTAGCTAAGTTGTTTCTTTATATAACCCACCTAGCTTTGCCATAGGTTTAGACAACTCACCTTTGCACACTCTACATCACCTTTTTCAGTAGTTTTTCAACTACTTAGTAGTTTTTCAAATTTCAATGTCAAATTCAGTTTTCACTCTGACAGCTTTGAATCTGATTGCTTTTCTGTCCCAGATGTTTGTCACAAGCTGTATATGTTTACATGGACACTTGCAAAAAACTTGTCTCACATTGTGAAAATACATTGACTCAAACACTGGCTAATATTATCGGTGACGTACACTGGGATCATTCGGAGTGTTTCGGGGTTTTCAACATCAGATGTCCTGCATGGCCCATGTGACCCTGCCAGTGCTGATCAAGCCCTGGCCTGTGTCCCAGTAGCAATCACACTCTACTGCTCACTCCCCTTGATCCACAACCATCTGGAGGATCTTTCTGCTGCCTTTGAGGCACTCTGACGGCTCTGCCCTTGTCTGCCCCTGTCACTCCCTGCAGACTGAGAGCTTTACTGAACTTTCGCGGGCCAGCCAGTATCTCAGTCATTTGAAATTTATAGTGAGCACAAGCTGAACAGTTAGCAAGCTTATCAGAAACTCTCTCTCTGTGCTATTAACAAAGTCAAGGCAAGTGGGGTACATTTTCAGTGTATTTAAACACTAAATTATATTTTTATATGAATATATAATATTAATGACTCCATGTAATCTGAATTGGTGTCTAATGCTGAAATCATTTAAAACTATCACCCAACTCTCCTGCTCTACACAAATTAGAGACCAAGTACATATACTCAGCCACTGTATAAATTTGATTTACTTGTAATTGTACTTGAGTATTACCATTTTTTTCTGCTTTCTACTTCTACTCTCAATTTCAGAGGCAAATATTGTACTATATATGTCTCATAGCCGTAGTTACTTTTCAGAAGAGTTTACATTAAAAAAAATTGTCTTATGAACCCCTCACAGAAAAAAGCAGTGTGAAGTTATATCCTCTTTTAATTTTCTCAGGTGGTTTCATTCATTTATTTCAACTCTTTGACATTCAAATGTAAAAGAAGTAAAATTATGTAATATTTCCCCCAAAAAAGCAATGATTACAGAATAATCAAATAATGAATGGACATTTGTAAAACAGAACTTTGTTTTTTTCTTTTCTCCTCTCCCATAAATCATCTCATGACCCCTCAGATTCATCTTCTGTTCCTTTGGAGGATCAGGAGAGAACCACTGGACTAAACTACAGTGTATTAGGTAGTAAAACTAGCTCCACCTTGACCAGCTACAACATATAAATGCTGCTTACACACTGTTGCATCAGTATTAACAATATAATATAAAATAATGTACTACATAATAATCAAGTCATAGGAGGCATTTATCTGCATTTTATTTTTAGATTTATTTATTTATTGATAATGCTTCGGTATTTTTAATTAAGAAAGAACTTTTACTTGTAAAGGAGTATTTTATTATTGTTCTATGGGTACATATTACAAGGATCTGAATACCACTATTCGCAATCGTCACGTCACGCTGTGCATATGCCTCAATGATTGAGGCACGCAGGAGAGTAACATATTTGTCACTGGCCCTGTTCAAGGCTTTTGTTGGACTCTAGGGAGTTGAAATGAGGCATCTCACATGGTAAGCAATGCACTATGAGCGCTATGCTGTGTTTTGAAGGACAATTGCTATACTGCTTTGACACAAAGGACGTTAAAAACATCATTTTGGCTGATAATCAATCCTGTGTTCCACATCGAAGGCAAGAAGTCTGCCACAGACCCATCCATAATGTGACAGTTTTAAGGACAGTTGCTTTTTTATTCTTGTTTAATATGATGGAGGTTGAAAAGGCTCTTTTTTTCTTAGCTAAAAATGGACCTCTGAGCTTTCAGTGTGGAAACATTTATCACATATTTACCAAAGGGACTGTTCCCTTGGAGACCTTGGGCCCTTGTGCACTTTTGTTACACACATAACGGCCTTACCATTATTATCGAGACATAAACTTTCCCCAGTTAGCTTGTGGACATCTGTCTTGCTCAGTTAAACAAAGTATGTGTAGGTTATTCCACTGAAGTGTGAATAATTCTGCGGGTGTTACAGCCAGACAAATCACATACTCTATACCCCTAATATGCTACAGAACCATGCATAATGAATGGAGGAGGGAAAGGGATGGATTTGGATCTCAGTCCTTCCACGTCCACACTACTAGTGAGTGTGTTTCAGTGTCTGCGGCTGCAGCAGGATTTTGCATGCTGCCAATGTCGCGTCTGCAGGAAACTGTCCCTCTTTGTTTTTCTCTATTTCTCACTAGCTCTCTTACTTTTTTCCTCTCCACCAGTAATTACAATTCCTCTAATGCAGTTCATTTCTCTTTAACATGATTCTCCTCTTTCCCTGTTTATTTAGTTATTTTATTGGCTGGCAGGCTCACTCTTCATTAATCTAATGCAGTTTGCTTACATTCATTCAACCCCCTGCTTCAGCAGTCCTGTAGTGTAAAACTGTCGGGGCCTTCTCAGCCGGCCAAACTGTCACTCACCAAGATCCCACAAAAGAAAAATCTGTATTTTCCCCCTACTTTACATGAAAAGCAAACACTTGTTTCTGCTCCCAGCTTGTCTCCATCCATCTTTTTCCTGTCCAAGTCAGTATGTCTGTCTAAGTCTTGCCTCCTACCTCTTACCCATTTGTTTGCTCTCTCTCATTTGGTTAAGGAAGGGGCAATTGAGGTCACAACCTTAGCATGATTAACTTGATTTAAGGAGCACACTTAACATGTCCTGAAATCTCTTAACGCCAGATTCACTTTTGACCACTTGCAGAATTGAGCTTTTGCAGACGTTTAACCAATGGGAAGTAATGTTGCCACAATGTGGTTTGGGTGGCTGAGTAGAGGTTTTGAAAATGCAGATAAATAGAAATAGCAGAACTCATAAGTAGCATAAGAGAACCATTAGCTATACATATAGCTCCTCCAATAGGTCTAGCCCACGTGACAAGGTGAATATATCAACCATCTATTATTGATTATCACATTTTACCACGCTCTGATGGTTTTCATGTTCTGTTTGACTTTGCTAAACGTCCTTGATGTGAAAATAAGAAGAGGAATCATTATGGTCTCCTGATTAGATGTTAGTCAGCGCTATATGGTTTTCTTTAGCATGCTGTACTGTATGTGTCTGTGTGTAAATACTGCATGTGCATGTTGAACACTGCCTTGGGTTATTAGTAACCAAATCCAGTGCGCGACACATGTGGCTGCCTCTTGCACGCCGGTACAAATTGTAAAATGCAGGCCCCTAAATCATAACAGTGGCCTTTAATTTATTGCTGTGTGAGCACTCAGTGGTGCACTGTTTGAACTGATGAGACAGAAACACACAGGGGCTGTTTTATAGCTTCCTACTTCATTTAATGCATTAAATTTTTGCCCTCTTTTTTTTAAGGCAGCTGAAATGTAAATTAATACTGCTAATATTTTAATATGATATGCAAATTTCAAAAATGCACTCAGCTGGAGTGATTTCAGTTGACTTTTTCTACATGAACAGTATGGTGCAACATCAAGTATAAACACAATTCACTGTTGGGAGTAGGGGTATATATATTACATTTATTTCTGAATATGTCAAGTTGGGCCTTAGGAAATTGTGATGGGAATTTTTCACCATTTACTGAAATTTTATATACAGATTATTGAGTTATGAAAATAATTGTTACTTAAAGGTGTAGTCACATGCTCCTGCAATAAGTGCAATGAAATGCAAGGTGGCATACTCTTGAGGCTTTGCTGGAAAGGCTTATGTGCAATAAAGGGTAAAAATAAGAAAAAATCGATACTTAGAAAAAGAAATTTAAAGGATACAAATTAGTGTTAAAAATATTAAAATGCTAAAGTGTGTATTGGCCCAGTGTGTAAATGGGTTGTGCAAGTTTTAAACTGTAAATATGTCTCTGTTAGAGTCTGTAACAGAGGACCCAGATGCAGACACAGAGGCAGTTGTATAAAAAATATAAAACAATATTTTTTTTTAAAGTAAAAAAAAAAGACAGAATCACAGTGCTTTTACAATAATGAATGTACATGGTGAACTCAAAGTGGTAAATCTGTTTGAGCGGGGCAGGCAGGCAGAGACAGTTTTAAAACCATATGAGGCAGAACAATGCAGAGCTCTCCAGACTCAGAGATCAAAAAACCTAAGGCAAATGAAAATACAGGATATAAAAAATCACAAAAGACATAGCTTGATGCTGAAGCCGTAGCAAATGGCCCACTGGTAGTAAACAGATTATCTGAGTGAGGGAGGAGGCTGGGTTTTTAACTGCAGGGGTTGATTGTGGAAAAGAGTTTCAAGTAAGATAGGAAGTCCCAGGTGGTCTGTTGATTGGCCCACATTAGAAGGTGCATTGCCACACACACACAGACACAAAGCCCCAATCCCAATCTAAAGCCTAAACCCTGAACCCTCACAGACTTACAGTAGCTGATGTCACCTGGTAAGTGCTTAAGTATTAAGGCTGTAAGGGCCTGAAATGGTATAATAGGACAGCACCGCACTTTGTAACATCTACGTTATGTTACCTTGACTATGCAAAAACAATTGTGGGTTTGGGAGTTTTTATTTTACATTTTTTACTTTTTTCACGGTCGTGGCACTGAAAGGACCGACTGTCCAACCTAAACGTATTCCAGGCTCTTGCCGAGTAAATTGATTATTTAAAAATGACCTGTGGCTAAGAGGTAATTTTCAAATAATTAATTTTACTCGTCTTTGTCAAAACAGCAGCATACACTTAGATGTAATCGTTTTTCTTATAGTTGCTCCTTCCATGTTTGTTTACCTTTTTTTAACACCGGCTTCCCCTGGTAACCCCGCGTTTAACGTTACAACGCAATGAACTGTGGGTAATTCCCTCAGGCAAGTCTCCAGAGATGCAGACAAACAGAAAGTTTGCATAAAGGGCTCAGAAAGTCTACCAGAAAGCCCTCATGCACTTGACGATTTGACAGTGGGACAGCGCTAAGCCCTCATGAGGACATTGGGATTCAGCCAAACAGAAGACCGACAGCACAGAGAAACACGGGGGGTGAGGGAGAGATAGGCGACATAGGAAAACACTATGAACTGATGGGTGGCACAGCCGGATCATGACAGTCCCAGATGTAAAACAACACACAAGAAGAAGACAACATGTTAGACATGGCCAGGGACATACAGGATATTGTCAGAGGACCATCCTTCACCATCCTGATGGCCTGAGGGAAGAAGCTCTATATGGACTCTATATGACTACATAAAGTGGATGTTTTATTGTACAAGTTTAACAAGAGTGAGTGAAGATGTACATATTTGGATCAAAAAAAGCACCATACTTTTTGTAACTTCCAACATCAGAGTTCTACTACACTGCTGATACTATTCAGTCAATCCTGCACGAGGAGTGGGCAGTACAATGGAAGCACAGAGGGAGACTAGGAATAGGAGAAGCGTAGGAGAGAAGCTCCCACAATAAGCACCACTATGCACATGTATTCACCATGGAGTAAGAACAAAATTCATTGTCTGTGCCAAATTCAATAAATGTGCTTCTTATATAGACAGAGTAACACATTTATCATCGTGTTGACGTAAAGTACAAGGTGAAATGACTGAATTAACATGGCACAGGAGGGGATGTTTAATAGACTGTGTGCTCTGTAACTAAAGTTGTGCTGCACTCTTCTTCTCTCTCAGCTGACGTACCTGCCTCCACCATGGGGGGACTGCAAAGCCACGCCGATGGACTCCGACTTCTTCAGCACTTACAGCATCACAGCCTGCCGGATCGACTGTGAAACACGATACCTGGTGGAGAACTGCAACTGCAGGATGGTCCACATGCCTGGTAGGAACCAGCAGGGCCTGTCATTGCTGGATACAAATAGCTTTTATATCTACATTTACTGATAAAGATGTAGATGCTATCGTGCTTTCATTTGAAATTGTGGTGACAAAAACAATTCTTAAGAACTAACAGCTTTTTGCCAACGACTGCAGAAAGTCTGATACTTTCACACTCCAGTGAATTGGAAAACTCAAATATTTTCACTTTGTGTTTGTGCAGTGATTTCAGCTGGCATTCGCTATCTACCTCCTACATTTAATCACTGTGTGGCATCTCAGATGGCAAATTGAGAAGGAGGTTGGCACACAGGAAACATCTGGATTCGACCCTGTTAACCCGCACTCACCTGTCCAATAATTGTTAATATCTTTCTCTTCGATCAGGGTCACTTTCAGCGCTGTGTTTGCATATAGAGTGCCAGACAGTCTGTCTGTGTGATAATCAGGATTAGCTGATATCTTATAGTGATTGTGCAGTTGATTCATGTGAGTCTACAGAGAATTCCCCAGTTGAAATCCTCTTCCCAGTGGATTGTGCTCTGCTGCTTTTCATCTCTTCTATCTCCCTGTCATTAGAAGGAGAGTATGAACCAAAATGCAGTGAATGGTTGCCTCTGGGAAATCATTTTCTCCATATATCTAGGACATATTTAACGTCCAGGGAGAAAAAGATGGAGACAGTGATGGAGACTGAAAGTGGTCATGACAGGCAGCGAAAGTACGAACGTTAATGAAATCAATTATGTGGTGGGATCAAATAACATCAGACTAAGACCAAATTAATTACAACCCCAGATCTCGTCATCCTTTATGCTTCTTTGAAAACTCTCTTCTTCCCTTGCTCCCCTTTTTTTGTTCAGACTGAGAACATTGTGTTTCTTCTGCCTGTCCTTAGGAGATGCCCCATACTGCACCCCAGAGCAGTACAAGGAGTGTGCAGATCCTGCCTTGGGTAAGGAGATAACCCAGCATGCTGTGTGTGCATGTGTGTGTGTGTACACTGTCCCACTGTTCAGAGCCCCTGATCCAAGCTGATAACAGATAATAGTCTTCCTTCAGCCTGATGGCAGCCATTCTAAAATAGTAAACCTCAGGCCTGGCACTGAGGCTCTCTTTTTTCAATCTCCCCTGCCTCTCCATCAACTGATACCTTTCAGGCCTTTCATATCTGTTGCTTGTTTTCTTATTGACTTGCAATCCCTCGCTCTTTCATGACACAGACTCACGTGTCAGCCTCTGGCTGCTGCTCTTTCTCTGACTCTGTCGGCATGTGTCATATCTTTTCTATTTCTTATAAGAGTCTCTGGGGTGTTTCCTTGCAGCGTCTTTTCACAAGTTTTCTTTGACGCCTTTCACTCTGCTTGCATTTTGTTTGTCATCCTGAGGAAATGATAAATCTATCTGTCCCAATGTCTTTATTTCAATCTGTTTCTCTCTCTTTCTCTCTCTCTCTCTGCTCTATTTTTCAGACTTTCTTGTGGAGAGAGATAATGACTACTGTGTGTGCGAGACGCCGTGCAACATGACGCGCTATGGTAAAGAGATGTCCTTTGTAAAGATACCCAGCAAAGCATCAGCCAAGTACCTTGCCAAGAAATTCAACAAGACAGAGCAGTACATAGCGTAAGTCACATTTTGACATCTTATTTGTCCAATGATGAGTGTGGAGTTTTCAGCACTGCTTCACTTTGTATTCAGTTTTACACATTATCACCTTGGTGCTTTTCAGTGTAACCAGTTACACCTGCTACACATAAAACAGCTGAAAATGATACTGTTATGTAAGAGCATTTCTAGCATTATGATTGTGAAGAACAGATATGTCATATAGATGTATGAAACATTATACTATATACTATGCTAATACACTATATAGAAATAATTAACAAAAGCAGGTTTCTCCCGGCTTGAGACAAAACAAATCAAAAGCTGCACTCAAAATGTATTGTATCTAATGTGTTGGCTCCAGACATATTATTGGTTAATGCTGATGAATGTCAAATATAGCTTTTGGTCTTGATTGTGAGGAACTTAAGATTAAAATCTAATGTTTACCAATTTTTTAAGTTGATCAAGCCAGTCAAGTAAATAAACACTAAAGCTGTAAAGCTGCACTAGAAATACAAGGCTACATCATCTGTGTCAATTTCCAGTGGGAATAAGAAGAAAACACCACAAAGCAAGTTAGATTTCCTACACATTTTCTATATAAATTAAGTGTTTTGAGGTTGATTCCCCTTTAAGCAATTTACTTAAATGCTACACAATAGCTGCTGTAACCAGTTCATTTTCTCAAACCTGTATTTTTTCATTGAGGTGAGGAAATAGAATAAGGAGTTTCCATTCAGAGCTTAGCTTGATTAATCAGCCAAGTTTTAAGTGTTTCTTTGCCAGATCTACTGAAAAGATCAAAACTAGTTCAAGGAAATGAGGGGAGGGTGCAATAATAGTTGAATCTTTTATCTATCATTCCCTGCGGAGCTGTTGAGGACAATTTAATTACACCATATGTAGTCAGAGTGCTGCAAAGACCTCTCACTTCTGTCTTCAGAATGTAATTCCCTGTGGATAGATGTGAGTCCATCTAGTTTTAATTTTTTGACTGGCCATATGTCCAAGCAGTGTACACTGATGAACATTTACTGGGAGTGTTCTGGTGTCTGGGCTGCACAGTGTTAAATGGTGTGAAACTGAAGTCTCTTAACAGTGGACTGAAACACAAACACAGACCAAGACACATAGACACACAGCTTCACCGGCTCCAGGACAGCAGCTCTGATCAGATGTTTTGCAGGTTACTCCCCTTACAGTGAGGAAGCATTATTCAAACAGCAGGGTGACACCTATACAGGTGGGCATACAAATCAGGAGAAAACATCCACAAATGTCAGTAATAACATGATAAATTCACCTAGATCAGTGATTCCCAACCAGGGGCAGTTGGACCCCAGGGTGTAACAAGTTCTGCAGCTGCCAGGGGGAAAGACTGTAGAGCTAATTAAAAAAAAATAAAGTGGCAATTAATATATCCACATGTTGAGTTAGCGGTAACATCCAAACACTGTGTGTTGGGATTTTTTATGCATGGACACTAGTTAGCAAGCAAACTAAAAGTATGAATCACTGCATGTAGAGACAAAATCAGTTCGGTGAATGAAACAGTTCAAATAATTAGTTAAAAGTGATGAATAAACAGTTGAAGTAGTTAGCTAATTTTAAAAGTAAAGGATAAACAATTTAAATACTAAAAGCAGAGATGGGGGACTCAAGTCAAATGACTTGACTTGAGTCAGACTTGAGTTGCAAATTTGAAGACTTGAGACTTGCTTGACTAAAACAGACAAAAGACTCGACTTGACTTGGTGTTCATGACTTGAAACGTGACTTAGACTTGAAACAGATGACTTCATAATGACTTGATTTTTTAAATTAAATATTTGCATTCGCTCATTTCAATGTTTGCGGCATAATCCTGCAACCATGTGCTTTCATATAGCAGTCCGGATCTCCGGACAGCGGTGTAGAAAAAGACTGTTAGTTGTAGTGCAACACAGACTTTCAAGGATTATGTTGTCGATGACGGAAGAAAAGAACAGCTTTGTGCAAGGTCTGCAGCTCAAAAATCAGTGACACAACACCTACAACATCCTAACTTTTTCTGTCACTACAGAACCCATAAAGAAAGGTATGTTACGTGACTGTGGCTTATTAGCCAACATAGGCTGGTCGAACGCATAGAAAGCTAAGTTTAGGCTGCATCCAGTTGTTTGGCTGCAGTTTGGTGCTGTTGTAACTTTATGTGAAAACCTCTTAAAATTCCTGGTGGCGCACAACTGCTATGTTAAGTTCATACTCATATGATACACCATTTGAAAGCTAAAGTCCTTGTGATTCGACCAATGCAAAACATTTCAAGATACAGTCACCATACAGAGCCTCTGTTAGACCAACCAGTACAATCAAAATTGATGCGACTCACCTTTAAAGCCTAAGAGTATCTTAATCCACTGATCAATTATATTCCGACAAAAATGGTCTTGTTATGTTGTAAAAATTCCAGAAGATCTAATCCAGTAAAAACATTTAGTCAAAAACACATTATTCCATCAATAAATTATTCCATCAATAAATCCCCAGGGACTGATGCTGCATCATTTCAAATTTGCTGGCAAATGTGTCTAGTTTGTCATTATAACCGTAATAACTCAGATTTGGATGTAAACAAATGCAATATCTTGTATTCAAATTAGCTGCTGAACTCTGACCTTTCGACTAACACCAAATCCGACCCAATAGAAGCTCACATGCCCCCCTACACAGCCTACTATAGCCAACGAGAGCCCGCGCTGTAAGGAAGGACCAGCCCCTATTATTTCATTGGTAGGCCAAGCCAGTTGCAAGCAATTGTGCCAATGACTGGCATATAGTTTTAAATATAGTTTAAACTAATTTTACAGGAATGGTAAGAGGTTACCATTACTGACACGTGTTTCTATTACTCTATTTTTCCACCTCATTTCAATAATAGAAACACCTTTATAGTTCAATATATTTAGAACAGAAACACTTACTACATCTTCCTAAATCATCCTACAGTTGAATTGCCAGCTCTCTTAAACTGTTTAAACAAAAACTGAATTCCTAAGAATTTCATATGACTTGACTTGTGACTTGCTTGAGACTTGAAGGTTAAGACTTGGGACTTGCTTGTGACTAGTACATATGTGACTTAATCCCACCTCTGGCTAAAAGTAACACAGAAACAGTTGAATTAGTTAGATAAATGGATAAAACATCCAGCTTCTGCCACTCCCAGTAGTTGTAGTGTACGAATGCAAACTGATTATTGTACATTATTCACTTATATAATTGATACAAACACATTTGCTACATTCGTGCTTTGATTTGTCAGAATAGGATATGCGCAGGTGTAATTAGCATTAATGAAGGCTGCATTCCATTTAGGTGAGCCAGGTCTGGGGTCTTGGTACTGTACATGCACTGAAGAGGCTTCCTGTGACACTTAATGGAACAGAGCCATCGATGTTAGTTGTTCCACCTGTGCTTTTCCTGCTATGAAAAGTCAAAATGTCTCCTGTGAAAAAGTCCTCCCCAGGGCTGTGTGTGAATGTCTGACAAAAAAGGTTGCCAACCACTAACCGAGATTACGCTATCAGGCGAGGAACTGAGTGAACGATGATTGTTTCACGGTTTTGCTACAGATGTTTTATGTTCTTTTAATAAGAATAGTACAGTCAAACTGCATAAGCTGGAAGTAAATCTCCCACACTTAGCATGAAACAAGCAGATGTTGCATGTTCATTTTGTCATACATCTCCATCTATACATTATCAGCTGTGATTTAGCCGTTTCAAATCAGCCCTCGGCTTTAACAGAATTTCTTTAAGACTGGCAGATCATCACTTGTCTTGACTTAAATGTAAGTAATAAAATAGTGCGCCAAGTACAGAAAAAAGAAAAAGTCGAGATACAGTTTTGATCTCAAGTCCACTGGGGTGTGTAGTCTGATTCGTCCCACAGAGAGGATATTCAGGAATCAAAATAATAGTCAGCCTTGCTCTGGGCCTAATCCCCATTATTTTTCTTTGTGCTGAAGTCATGGGTTTTAGACATTAACACTGTTTGAAATCAAACAGCTGTCATTATTTCCCTTGTTTTCCCAATGACCAAACCCACCTATGGGAAATAAGTGACGGCAGGTTATTTGCTCAACTTGATGCATCTGCGCAGTGATCTGCAGAAAGTGGCAGACTCACCAGTCACCTTCTACGCCTGGGGACACTTTGATAAAAAGAAAAGTGTATAAAATGTAAACTGAGACATTTGAATATATGACTTAAGACTGTCTGCTTCTCTCTCTGTTTACAGTGATAACATTCTGGTTCTGGATATCTACTTTGAAGCGCTGAACTACGAAACCATTGAACAAAAGAAAGCTTACGAATTGGCAGGCCTTTTGGGTAAGGAAATGGCTGTCAAGTGTTTTCTTGGTAATAGATAATATGCAGTGTGCAACATGACAGATGCTTTTTATCCAAAGTGACAGGAACACAAGCACTTGCATTTTTATAATAGGTGTTCAGGTCCCAGAAGACATGAAACTGTCTCTTTAATCTATCGTGGCTTTTCAAATTACATCTGTGTTTTCTGTTATGATGTTCACCTTTCAGACCTTAATAAAGATAAAAAATTTGTTAAAAGTTAATATGAAAGCTAACCTATGTTTTATGTGAATGCACAGAGATGACTTTTGTCAGAGTAAGTTACAATTTGTGCTTTCTTATTTGTCTTTTCAGGTGATATCGGAGGTCAGATGGGTCTTTTCATCGGAGCCAGCATCCTAACTATTCTTGAGCTTTTTGACTATCTATATGAGGTAAAATATCTCTCTTTAAAATATCTCCCCATCATCATTGGGTGCCTCCCACTTAGTTAAAACATCTAGTGCAATGTGTTGTTTATGGAAATTTGTACTGCGCCATTAATGGAATTACTTGCTCACAAAATGGAGATTTTCACACAATGTTACCATCCGTACAAGGACGTGTTTTAGCGAGCGTGACGAGCGCTCTGTCCCTCACAACCCTGCAGCCTATCTCTTTGTGACACACGCATCTCAGCAGCAGCAACGCTGAATACATTAACATTTTGGATGTATTATTTTTTAGATTAGTCAGGATGTCTCTGTCCGTTCTCATTAGAGAGAACTCTGTGTTGCATGCTTCCTGTATGCCTTCTCTTCTAACAACAATGCAGAGAGAATTTTTATGTGTCTGTTAATCCTTGAAGTTAGATGTGTGTGTGAGAGAAAGCAGCACTTGCTCACGTGCAGGATCAATGGTGAAATATATTTGTAGATGCATAAAATTAATCTCATTTGAATTTCAATTTGCCTGATCCTTCAAACTCCAAAGCATGTGGGCTTGAACTATGTAAAGATGGAAAATGAAGAGAAAGAAATAGAATACTGTGTTTTGATCCAGGCCAGTTTTGAAGGCCTGTAATGGATGTCCTCGCCTATTTTCAGGTGCTCAAGTACAAACTGTGCCGGTGCGTGAAGAAGAAACACAAAGGCCGCAACAACAACGACCGGGGAGCTGTGCTGAGCCTGGATGATGTGAAACGCCATGTCAGTAGGCTGCTGCTAAGTACTTTCACTGTGTCAGACTGCATTGCTTTGACAGGGGCAGGCTCTCTTCTTTGTCTTCACCAGTCTTAAGTACAGGAGGACGAAGTGATAGTGGTTGGGAAAAGTAAACAAGAGAGTGAAGCGATAGAGATGGAGGAAGCTAAGGAGGGAAGGACTTGAGAGACAGGGAAGGGAGCAAAAAAGTGATTGCGATGAGATGGAGAGAAAATTGAGAGAGAGAAATAGAGAGAGAGAAGTTAGAGAGCAGAAAGTGGCACGAATTTAATCAAAGCTCAGGGACAGGACCAGCAGGGACAGGTCGGAATTAGAGCTTTGGAAGGTGTGACAGCTCACTTATTTCCAAGTGTAAATGAAGCCAGCTCACTTTGATTGTAAGTCTGAGCCCAGGAAGATAAAAAAAGAGAAACATGCGCTCCTCCTCTGATCTGCACTCCTGAATTACTTGCCATCCACTACTTTCCATCCACCTTCATCCATTTCATCATTTTTTTCCTGGCCCAGCTTGTTGCTCATGTCATGTTATTCTAGGAGTGTGTCTTTGACTTTTCTCAAATGTATTTTATTTTCTGTTTTATTCTGAATGTGATGACTCCCACTCTGCTCATTTGCCTTCCCTCTGTCTCAATACTCTCCTGGTGATCATTTATCTCTCTTTATCCTCCTCTACTTTGTCTTACCAGCCTTTTTGCTTTCTCTCTCTCTCCTAATTTCTCTCTCAGGCTCCTTGCGAGAACCTGCGTACACCATCAACATATCCTGGCAACATGCTACCTCATCACCCGGGACAGGCCAACTTTGAAGACTTCACTTGCTGAGCAGAGCCCGGGTGAAGCATCAAAGTGCGCGTTATGCAACCAAAGCCAACCATACAACAAGAACTATCCAACACGGGGAGTGTGAGGAACTGATTCGAAGTCTACCAGAGGCACTTTTTACATACAGTAGAAAAGGAGTAAAGCAGACAAATCAAAAACGGTGAAAGAAATTTCACCCGAGGCCAAGTGGAGAGGATATCCCAAAATCTAAAATCTGTGTTCATTTTTTGTTTTTCCGGAGAACATGTCATGCAGCACTCGAAACTCTTCTGTCTCTGTGTTCTCCTCTGGAATACTGCCACAAAGGATGGTCATAGAGAAGGCTTGCCAACACGGACCTCTCTTTCAAAAGACAAACAAATGTCAAAATAAACAAGGGAAACATGTACAGTTATCTCACCATAGATCAGAGAGAGCCCCCATGCCTTTATATAACACAGCAACACACGACAGTTTCATTACTGGCCTGCTAGTGGGACAAATATTCATACTGCTTACTCCACTGTACATGTAGCAACATCTGTAACTGTTGCAACGCTCCATAACACAGCCAGACTCTGTGTAGTTTGTAAGAGAATGTATCTACGTTTGCAATGAGTGTAGTCTGGTATGCAGGGAAGTTTTCGGAGGGGGGGGGGGGGGGGGGGGGTTGTGGTGGCAGTTGTAGTGGTAGAGGTGCATCATCTGCCATTTGAAATGTACTGGTGATGATTTCAGGTCTCATCATGTAAATGCATGCTTGTATTTGTCCAGTGCATGTTTTTCATTTCATTTATAATTTGGATTTTTTTATATATATATATATATATATATATATATATATAGGTACCAATTACCAACTTTGCCTCAATGATATACAGAAAATGGAAGATGATACATCCCATATATTTCTGTTTATGTGTGCAGCCATACAGTTTGTGGTGTGTGTGTGTGTGTGTGTGTGTGTGTGTGGGTAATGGGTATCAACATCAGTACCCAAGCTGGTACAGCATGTGTTTGTTGATTGTGCAAATGGATGAGCTGTACCTAATTTCATTTCTCATCTGTTAGTTGTTGTTTTTTTCACTTTCACACGTGCCCGATGAGTCGAGGAGTCTTCATTCAACTTCATTTCCTCTTATCTCGACTGCAGGATGAGGTTAGGTGATTTTTTTTCCTTCCCAGGAGAGTTGATTGCTGAAACCCTTGGAGTTTTGTGGGGCTGGTAAATTTTTTTCTGTATCTGTGTTCTAGTTGCAAAAGTCAAAGCACAATACCGCCAGTATGTAGAGGTGATGTAAAAGACGACGTACTATTCTTCTTGATATATTGTCATATTAATGATATCGTGTTGATCCGACTGTTTTTCAGTTGTTGTTTTTTTCTTTCATATAAAACGATCGATAATGCCTGATATCCTGTCTCCATCTTCCAGGTAGGCTGGTCTATTTAGTTATCAAAGCATAAATAAAATGTAAATATCATTTTGGAAATTGTTATTCTTCTGAGGTTTTTTTCTTATCAGTGAGTTTCCTCTCCGACGCCTTTATTTGTCTGCGTGGTTGAATACGTAAACAGGCAAACCAATGTATTTTTCAACTCCAGATACTGTGCAAATGTTATTTTTAATCATGAGTAGCTCTCAGAAGATCTGATTAAGCTTTCTGCACTTCATCTAAGGCATTTCTGCTATCTCTATTCTCTCTAATCAACATGTTATCTTCTGTTTTGCTTCTTACAACATTTTCTGTGAATAAAATCGGCAGTAAGTGAAGGTTTTGGGGGCAGAAGCCCGGTATTAAAAAAGATATTACTTATCTACTTCTACCATTAATTTGTGTTGCGTTTTAACAGCTGCAAGCCACAACAGAGCTCCATACTCTTGAAATGTAATTACAGTTTCGGGCTGCTGTATGACAAAAGGACGGATGAGAAATATCCTGCACAGCCAATACAAGTTTTATCAAGATTGTCAGTCGGCCTGCAGCCGCACGTTCTGGACGACTTCTCTCATATTCTACTGTACATCTGGTGCTGCCAACTGCCACAGCAAAGAAGCTTGGTGATGCATGACTGTGAATATTAGAGCCCAGTTATACGGCCTGAAACAGGGTCTGCCTTGAAATCATGTTTGTTGGTCGGCTGCACATCAGTCCACTGCTACCAGACATTAAGGGTTATTCTAGGATGAGAAGTTTACTTTTGCCTTATAATTTTTTCATTATTTCTTTTAACGGGAACCCAAACGTCAACATTGTTCATCAAATGTGAGCATGCATTCATTTTTTATTATTCAGAGGAGAGACCGCAGCTGGTTACCACACATTAATATAGTGAGTGTTAAAGCTCCCGGGAACCCACTCCAACATCTGATGAAGATTTCTCCTGTTTTTGAATGTCTAAAACATGATTTTGCCCCCTGATGGTTTATTGTTTCCTGTTGTACCTGCCAAGAAGACAAATTAATCAAGAAATAAAAGAGGATGCTGTTAATTTCCTGCTGGCATTTGTGTCTTTGTCTGAGCAACAGTCTGCGACTCAGAAGATTGCAGGGGAGGGTCAGAATACAGGAGAATTGCCTGCCAGTGACAGAAATCCTGCACAAGATGCTGTCTGCATCCTGATAAGGCTCCAGGGCAAAGCAGGTGGGGGAGTGTGGGAGGTGGCAATACCAGCAGGAGACCTGAAAATCTTTGCAAAAATGATGGATACGTAGGGATTTCCTGCTATCTTGTGGTCTTAATTGTTCAGTGTTTGCAGATCCAGAAATCTTGGCAACGTTGTCTTTCCTCTGAATGAGGTTAAATCATTATGCGCCCTCAATCTGCTCCCCAATAAAAAGATCAGACCTCCTTACTTTGACCTTGTTGGTTGAAAGCCAATTGGGAGACAGGGTGAGAGAAAGAGATGTGATGGATTCTATCCCAAACTGCCTGTCCTTCTTAAATGGCTCTAACACCCTCCGCTAATCGCACCAGGCGGCTGGATGTAATGTGACGGGGCTGTTTTCACGCAGGGAACTTCTAATGTCTGTTGTTACATTTTAATGAGACTTGTGCGCACCTTTTCCCCCCACACCTTTCAGTTTAATCATGCCTTCTGCTGTCACTGAACATGCACTCACACTCTTTTTATATCAGAAATAACTTGCTCCTAATCCTATTATCACATCTTCTTATCTACACCTACAAGGAGATTATGCACTTGTTTTACAGTTCCTTAATGTGGTGTTTTCCATATACTAGATGAACACACATACACACTAAAAATCACATACATTTGTACCTCCATCCCCGTGGAACATTTCCCTGACATAATGCATTCCCTAGCCCTTTACCCTAACTCTAACTATAACCTAATTGTATCTTGAACCCTTCAACCAAGTCTTAACCCTCAAAAAACAGTCTCTACCTGTGGGGAGCTCAATATTTGTCCCCACAGTGACACTAGTCCCCATCGGTTATATATATAAACATGAAACACTGCGCAAATTGGTTCAGTCAGTAGCCTACTGTTGTACCGAAGCAATACTGGTGTTTACCCAGTAACAAAGGGTTGTTTTGACGCACTGTCAGTGTTGCTATTACTGTTGGGTTACTTAGCTGTATTTTAAATTTAACAAAATATGGAGATTTGAGCGAGTGTTAGACAATAAATCAAAAGCATTTCGAATGAATGATTGTTTGAATGATTTCTTTCATTAGGATATTTTTTAAATCTAGCTATCCCTTACGCTACTAAATTATATTGTTAGTTGCACAAAACGAAGTGCGTGTGACAAAGCCCCTTGAGGCAAATTGTAGTAATATATATATATATATATATATATATACTGATATGTGATTCCAACTGCATATATAATTAACACTCACTGACAAAGAGTAACATGTACGTTTAAAAAAAGCTAGAGTAGATTAAAACAGTTCACCACCATTGGGTAAATAACCAAACAGCAGTACGTTTACTTAAGTACTAGGTAGGTAGTTGTACTTTACTTGAGTACATCCATTATATGATACTTTTCATCGTACCCTTTACTTCCCCACATTTCCATGACTTATTTAGTTACTAGTTACTTTACAGATTTAGATTATGAATAAGAAAATGATCAACAAATAAATAATAATGATGTATTACTATTTTTGGTTAAGCTCCCCAGCAGTATATAAAGTAGTTAAAATTAGCTCCACCTTTATTAAATGCAACATTTAAGTGATACTTACACTTTAATGCGCAATAATTGTAATCCCATGATAAATACTTATTATGCTTGATGACTATGTTTACTTTTGGTTCTTTATTTTAAACTTTCCGAATATTACCCCACTACTGTTGAACAGTAATATAACAAAACGGCACTAACCCTGGCTTAAACCAAGCCATTATTTGGGTGATGATCTACCCATGAATACTGGGTAAAGTGATCCCACATATTGACCCAAAATATGGCAGAGTCTTGTGCCTGTGATTTTTAGTGTGTGTTACTTTATATTGCATGATCTATACTGTACAGAAATTAATGTTTAAAAGCACAACTGATGCTCTAGCTTGTATCCGTGCTCTCACTGCTGCCAACATGTCAGATGAGTCACATTTCTGGTATAAATTTATCCTGTCAGATCTCTCTCTGCAATTAGGATGCTCAGCCGTTTGTCATAGATAAGGCTGCGGCCCGGCTCCTCTGGGCTCCACTTTACATTCTGCTCGTTAAGAGGATTAATAATTACAGCACAGTCAAGTTTCTCAGCACTGAAAGGCGCTGTATTAGATTTCAGACTTGGGTCCTCCTGATTTTTCCTTTCCTTTGTTTAAAGTATGAACCCTCACTCATTTGTTTAACATCCAGGCTGTCAGTATGCCTGTAAAGGATAAACCTAATCGACTGCCATCTTACACACACACACACACACACACAGGATGCAAAATCCTCTTTGGAGATTTGAAGCACAATGCAGCAAATCAATCTTTTTGGTCCCATGAATGAGGATTTTGCTACAGCTTGTTCCAAAAAAAACCAAACATAATGTGCTCCCCCTTCCTCCCTTGTGTGCATTCACACAAGCACAGTCTGATCAAACACAAACTGGGTATGCAAACAGATGGGGTGCCCTGTTTTTTACTGTCGGAGCTCCGTACTAATTGGGGGGAAGTGTAATGACATCAAAGTTTGGAAACAAGAAAGTGTTCAATTCTGCCCTTAACTTGTTGTTTACTTGTTAACACAGAAGCCACTTCAGAGGTTCAACATCCCCTCTCCAGATGAAATATAATGATGATGATATGCAATCATGTAGTAGAGGCTGGTATAGAAAAGGGCTCAGAACAAAAAGGACCTATGTATTTGGATTTTCTCACAATTCTCTTAAAAAACACATTCATTCCTCATTCGCATCTTGTTTTATTTTCAAGTTTGTGACTCTGTGAGAAACACCTATCCACAATTCCCCCCCTGAATCTGACTTGGAAAACATCCTAGAAGCCAATGTTAATAATCGGGACTCTATTTATGCCTGTATGATTTGATTCCCTCTCTCACACCCACTCACTTTTTGTCCCCTAAACAAAATTGGGAAAATGATTTTGACTATACATTTTCGGATGTGGTTGTTTTATTTGTATTAAAAATGTATAAGTCTTCTATTTGAGCTTGTCCTAGCTTTATTCAATTAAAGCTTATTGACAGAGTTTACTGGACTAAGACAAAAAAAACTGACATAAGGTAACGCTTCTTTAACACAGTTTTGACCATCCATCTTTAGAAACTTTTCCTCTGTGTCAAATGACCCTTTCCCTGTGGTAGCATCTTAGGTTTTGTGCCTGACTTCTCTTCACTACCCTCCAAACTAATTAATGCTCTTGCCTTTTCAACACTACTGGCTAAGTGTCTCATTCTTCAGAAGTGGAAACAACAGAATCCCCCCTGCCTTTGTTTCAATGGAGGAGAGTCCTGCTGAGTAAATTATGGTGTTCATTACATTTATTGTATTTTTGTCTTTGTCACGTAAAAATCAATAAACAAATCTATCAAAGGAGGTCATGTAAAACTGTTTCAGTTCAAAAACCATACAGGAGGCGCAGTGGCTGTCAATTTTAATTCACCTAATAATCAAGAAGAGAGCTGATTTGCTCATTTATGAACCCCTACTGTGATGAAAGAAGAAGAAGAAAGAAGATGTTTTACTTTGAATATTCCAAATTATAATGTCTGTGATTTTTGTGATAACTCAGATTGTGAGTTGAAATACAGAAGTGCAGCATGTGACTTGGCATTCCAGTTCAAGCCATTAAGAAGCAAAAGATATAATTAATGCTCCAAATGTCCAACGTGTTTTTCCTTTTAGACGTTTTGGTTGTGTTTGTTTGGTACCTTTCAGCATTTAGTAAACGGTTATAGTCATGTGTTTATTACTGCACGGGTAAATTTAACTTACAAAAAACAGTTTTTTTTTTATTAAAGCACACATATATCAAATGTGAGATGCACAGAGCTACAGATGCTGTTTGGTTTGGTTTTATTCCAGTTTGCAGGCAGTGAACTAACTGGTTTATATGCCATATTACAAAGGAAAAAGAGATTTTGTTATGTCATGTTGTGGCAGCAAACCTTTTAACTAACTATACTCCTCTCATACTCCTCTATATTCATATAACATCATTTAACATCAGAGTTGGGTATTAAACAAAATGAAGATAATGAAATAAAACGTTGTGAAAAAAACTGTAAGTTAAGCTGTTGCTTAGCTTGGAAGATTCATTTTTAAGGAAACTATTTTGTGTCATATTTAATTTTGTCTCCTGTTTTTACTTTTGTTAAATTGATGACGAGTGGAAATTATTATGATGAGATTACACTAATATTTTTATTGTTTGGTGGAATGGTGTTTAACCTACATTTTATCTTGATGTGCATGGTATTAAAAATAGCTTGACTTAAAAAAACATGCATCAAACACAAGTGAAATTAAAGATTTGGGTATGTTTGAATAGAGTAAAAAGATTTGACATACGGCATAGCTTATAAACATACATATTTATAAAGTAACTACAAAAATACTGAATTTGTTATTAATTTCTTCAATTCCTCATTTTTGATTATTGATTTTTAATCATGTTGATTATGTATTTTATTTACAAATGTGCTGTGCCATATATTCAAGTATAAGGTAGTTTATTTGTAATTATACAACATAAAGTTGTATGACGAAATGAAAGTTTGTAGTCCCTTCTTGCCACACACACAGAACAGAATATGTATCAAAATATGGTAACATAAAACAAATAGAATAAAACATAGTTATTTATATACATATATACATATACATCTACACCCAGAATATTCTGCAGTGCATTTTTTGAATTGTGAATGTAAACAGCAGGAAAAATATGATAATATGGTTTCATCACAATAAAAACTTGACTGTGTTTGAGCACCAAGCATCATCAATGTAAAACACAGTCCACCTCCTCTCATCTATAACTAACTACTTTGAGAATAATGTTTCTCTGCTTTGTTTTTGTTTGTTCACTGTTTAACTACTTTAGTCTATTACTTAAGTCTCTAAAGGGCTCATTATTAATCCAGGACTCAGGAATCATAATCACAGTTTTACTGCAGTACCGAGATTATACGGCAGGGCCCGCTGAGGGGCCGTGAACACACCACCACCCAAAACTCCGTTCTCGCTCTCGCGGTAGCTCCGTGCCTCCACCGGCGGCGACATTCAGAGAGGAGATGGCGGCCAGAGGGGGGTTTCAGACGGCACCGACCGGAGGTGGTGGTGGAGCAATGGGACCAGGACCACCGGTACCGGGCGCAGGACCCGGCATGGGCCCCGGAACTCCTTCTGGAAGGATGGTACCGTCCTCGGCCGCGCAGAACCACATGTACCGCTCCCCGATGCCCGGGCCTGGGTACCCGGTGAGATATCTCTCCATCTTTGCTGCTGACGCGTTAGCCAGTCCGCTAGAACAAAGCCACGTACCGCTGCTTTGTCACTGGCGGCTAACGTTAACCACCGTAACCGGTGCGGGCCACAGCTCAAAGTAGCTGGCAGCCCCGGCGAAAAGTGCGTCCCCGTCAGAAACGTTAAACCGACCACTTTGACTGACTATCGGAGTTTGTTTGTTGTTTGAATTTGCTAACCCTCCCGCCTGCTAACGTTAAGGTTAGTCACGGTAGCCAATTAGCTTAGCCTGCTAACGTCGCTAGCTGTTTACTGTGTTTCGTTGAGTTTGCTCGGTAAAATAAAGTATAGGTGGCTCTGATTAGTTTCTAAACAATGTGACGAAGATAACTATTTTTGTTAAGCGTCGTACTTTTGAAAGTACAAGCTTTTGTTTAACAACGTTATAAAAGTTAGCTTAAGTAAAAAATAAAAAAAAAATCGTCAACATCCATGCCTTGTTCACTTTTGAATGAAAAAGCTGCACGAAGCCACTAAACATTGTTAAAAACTGTGATTACCCTAGAGGTTCAACCTAGGACCAGACTGCACCCTGTGTGTATAGTAGTTGATGTTTGTGGCATGCCAGCTGGTGTTTTCCACGTTGCAGAGGCAACATCAGTGCCTGCGTTTGGCAAACTTACGGTCACCTGATTGTTAAAATAAGTGGACTAAAATGGTTTCTCCACAGATTATTTGTTTTGAGTTTTTCAAGCTTTCACTGTACAAGAGACTAGCTGCATTTGCACATATAAGCTGCTAGGATCCCCATTTGAATAAATTATCCAGAAGCTATTGTCTATATTTGGGAAAATTATATAACCGACTCACTTCATCCTAAAACGTGGAGTTTTGTCTTGAGCTTTCAGTTAATATTGATGTGATTTAGGTTTGGAGACATCAGCCAAAGCCCAAATAGCCCAAATACACACTTCCCAAATATTACATATCAAACAAGCAAAAGCGACAATAGTGTGATGAAAAGCCAGCGTGAAAACGTGTATTCATCTATTCGGTGTTCATCTATTCATATCAGGCGTGTGAACATTGTTTTTTGTTTGTTGGGTTTTTTTGCACTATGGTACATCGTTGATTATATAATATATTATAAGACTGAATATTAGATCATATAAAATAGACAATGTGGCCAACAAGCAGAATGTTGGTTAATCTTTTTAACTATGTCGTGCACTGAATTGGAGTTGGGCCGATAGACGATGCTATCTTACATCGCCAATGGTTGATAGACATCACAATGTTGAGCCGGTGTCGTTTATTGTTGCTTTACCTGGTCCGTGCTTTTAAAATATCCTCCATGACTTGTAACGTAATACCAAGTTTTTTACCAAGTGAAGTCTATGTGTGGGAAACATGCCTTTCTGAGTCAGAGAGCAAGTCTCTGTAAAGGATACTTTGTTTAAATACATTGGAAAACAAGTCACAAATCTTCAGCGAAAATAAATATAACTAGAGGTGCTCCGATCAGTATTTTTTGGACCCATCACTGAAAGCAGTATCGGTCTATACCAATCACTGAGTCTATTTGAAGCCTTTTATTTATCATGAAGCATTATACAATATACTGTAGATTTATTTAATTAGTCCGAAAGTATTAAAATTAACAGATGATAAAGTATCATTAAACGAAAACCGTATACTGTGAACATCTTATAGCTTGACAAATACAGCTTTCCCGTGGAGTAAACTACAAAAACAAAACAAACAGCATATTTATAAATTTGCTTAAACTATAAAGACTGCAACAAAAAAGTTTAGAAAAATATTTTAAAAAATATTTAGGAGATAAAGGAGCACAGGCATCCTGAGTCGATGATAAACTCTGAAGTAGCCGCTTTTTGTTCTGGAAAGATAAGGCAGATTGTGTGGGCTTTAAGCCTTGATTATACTTGGGAGCGGACTCAGACTACTTCTGTTGAGGCAAGGGTTATACTTTCCGTGTCTGCGAGTACGCTGGGGTCCGCGTGACGAAAAAATCGTCATCAGAGGGGGTATGCATAGGGTCCGCGCGGATGTCCGCGTGCCTCCCATTAGTTTGTGATGCACGGCGACAAGCCCTACCAGGGTTAGTATATTGTTAATATTACTTATAGTTACTATATTCATTATAATTTCATATGGTTTACAGGCTATAGGCGTTATATAATTTCAGTGGGTGTTTTAATCCTTGTGCAAGAAGCACAGTCTACATATTTTACATTGGCCTACTGCCACAGCTTTACCAGAGGAGAGAGTAGCAAACACTTTAAATACAGCCAGCAGGTTTTTATTTGAATTTTTTTTTTTTTAAAGGTTAAAGACATGGGAGATTTACAGGGAAAGATTTAATGCGAGGATACCAGGTGAGAACGGAAAAATACAGGAGAATCCCAGGGAAAACTGAAGGGTTGACATGGTAGGAGTAGAGAGAGGAGTCGGTTAATGTGATGCAGCATTCAGACCAAATGCGAATTTTCTCCTGGCGACGCTTTCCTCGCGTCAGTATAGTCGCTGCAAGTGTTCACACACAAGATGAGAAGGCGATTTTATTTTTTTGCATTGGCCGACAACGAAGTGGAACGGTGACGGCAGAAAACAGACTGTGCATGTCGTTGCAAAGTAAATACTGCGACATGCACAGTAGGCTAACTGTTTGTGTTATTTACACAGTATGTATATTTTAATAAAAATACAGAAACTAAAACTTTGTCAGTAGCATCGTGTTTTGCTTTACATGACTGATAAGACCGAATCAGAAACAAAATGTGAGTCTGTCATTGTTTTATAAAGTCCTCTGTTTTGCCCACCTGGTCAGCAGCGTTTCCAAACAAACATCTTCTGGTTCGCCGTTTTAATCTGGGAGGCGGAAACGTAGCAAAAGGTCTTCGTTTTATAACAAAAACAGAGAGAGAGAGAGGGAGAGGCAGTCAGCTGATTGAGTGCATGGCTCTTCTCTTTGCATCAGGAAACTCCTACTGAAGGATCAGTCTTTCTCTCTGCCTGTTGCGCTTAGTGTCTATTAAACTCCAGTTGCAGGCGGCGCGTGTGTGAGATGAGCGCGACCGTGACAGTTTCACATGATCGCTCCTGCTTGTTGCTCTGCTTGTATGATTGTTGCTCAACTCTCATTGTAAATGATTAACTGGGCGCATCAATCGCTTCCTGTCTGAAAAGGACTTTGGTGCTAGCTAGCTTTGAAAACTGCTCAGACCGCGTAGTGAAACTATTTTAGCTGCACCTGAAAATCTGTCTGGCGAGTATTACATCATCTGATCGGCTTTTCTTATCTGCCTTTTTAGCGACCACCGATCAAAGTAGTTAAGGCCATTATCGGCCGATTACGATCGGAGCTCCCTTAAATGTAACGGTGTTCCTTTTTTAGTTTTGCATCTATCATAAAACTGAGGGACAAATTGTGTATACCAAGACCTTTGAATAAAAGAAGTAATGTGTATCTAAACTGTTTTAATCTGTGACTGGTGTCGACATAACTTGTGTGAATTTGGGCTAATGTAGACCAGCAGTCCAAAACCTGAAAATATTCAGTTTACTATCACAAAATACAAAACTGCAGCTAATCCTGATAGTTGAGAAGATGGAATTCGGCAATGTTACTCATTTTGCTTCCAACATTATTGAAAATGAATTATTTTTCTGCATTTCAGATCTGTTTAAAACACGTGAATCTCATTTATTTAACCAGTTAAAAGACCCAATTGAGATTAAAATCTCATTTTGAAGAGTGATGGGGCAAGAGAGCCGCATAAACATTGTTACAACAATAAACAGAAACGATACAGACAAGTCCAACTGTCACACATTATAAATGAGTGAGCACAGTATTCTTTCCTCTTAATCCAGTCTTGTACTGGATTACTGTGTTGTCAAGGACAAACATCTAGTTATAATGCATAAACGGGTACAATTTCCAAAAAAGGATTCAGTAAAAATTTAGGAGCAGTGACATTGACCAACAGTACTATTATTCTTTAAAATTGATCCCTCATAGTTATCGGCTCAGGGGGGTTTCCACAGACACTAATAAAATGTAAAAGCACAATGACACAGTATCCAGCTTCTTTAGGCACTGGTCACGTGCGTTCATAAAGAGTAGATCACTGCAATCCAATAAAGGTGAATATAAATTACCAAGTATTTGTTTCCTTACCTGGAGGGAGAATTAGGATTTATTTCCCAAATAAAAGAAAATGAATTTAAGTTTAAGCTTTCAAACAAGGTTTTCAATGTGTGATTGTACTCTTGTGACTGTAAGACCCAAGTTTTCCCAAATGCGTTAAAGATGGTGGAAATATTTTTAATATTCCGATCTGTGCTTTTATGCCTCCGTGCTGGCAGTAGCCGGAAGCATGATGTATTTGGATAGTCCCATTGTTGCAAACGCGATATTTCAGGAATGTTGTGAGGGAATTTCTTCAAATTTGGGGCAAACGTCCACTTGGACTCAAGGATGAACTGAATAGAATTTGGTGGTCAAAGGTTGCTTTGAGCTCGCAAAACATGCCGCCGCAAATCAAGAATTGATGGTGTAATTTCACACAGATGTTTTATGGGATATATGGAACCCAAAAGGTCAAAGGTTAACTTCACTATGACCTCATAATGTCCTGCGAAAACACCATTGGCCACTATTCAACACCATAACTCAGGACCAGAAGGTGAGATTGTGAACACATTTCACAGTTGGTCTGACACTGAATAGGCGGCACTTTTGTCAAGATTTTAGCTTAATTTCACGCATGTTGACTGGGGCGACCTCTGATATGTATAGCAATTGTAAGTTGCTTTGGATAAAAGCGTCAGCTAAATGAATAAATGTAATGTAAATCATGATAGAAAGTCATTTGTCACTGGTCCACGGCAGTTGTAGTTATTGCTACTTAGCTACTGAAAACCAGAAACAAAGTTCAGTGAAAGGATTTTTTTTTCTCTAGCGTCCTTGACTGCTTTCACTCACACAAGCAGCCTTTCACAACATAGTCGGAGAAGCTTCATACTCCAAATACTGCAGAGCTCCAGTTGTTCTCAGGCAAACCAAGGTTGAACTGATGTAGCGCTAAAGAGCACTTAATGATCAACATGCAGTCGCTTACTGCCCACACTGCGCTGTGTGGAAAAGGCAGAGCGTATTCATCAAGCCTGTATTGTTGACAAGTCAATGTCCATCATTCTTCCTCCCTTCCACTCTCCACTATATGCTGCGGAGAGAGTGTGCTTTGCCTTCATTTGTTGGACTGGCTGCTGGAGGGAACGCTGCAATCAGTGATTTGTCCTTTTATCTTTCGTTCTCACCTGCACACATGCAGTTAGATACCCGAAGTCGGCTGTTTGAGTTCTTGGCCCATGGCTTGGTGAGTTGGAAACAGGGGTTGTTCTGTGGTAACTTATTTAAAGGTGCCAGCATGTGAATTGTTGTTACCTCTTGTAGGACCTGGCCGACGCCTTAAATATCAAAGTATGTGGATTTGATGATGTAAAAGCAGGGTTTGTATATCCTGTAAACAATACAGAGCTCTTATGTGCTGCTGATTATGAGCTATGCTATTTGTTTTTCGTGCACTTAAATAACTTAAAGGGGTAGTTTTGATTTTGAAGTGTGATTGTATGATGTACCCATACATAGTCAATGTATTACCTACAGTAGTTGGCGGCTTGCACGCGCTCAGTTTGGAGAAGCAGGCAGCATTGAAGTTGAGCAATGTACTGATGTGGACTGAGGCAGCAGCAAAACATATTTTTAGCCACCTAAAAAGGTCAACCTAAAAAAAAAAAATCAATATCACTTTAACTGTACGCTATATTTAGAATATGCTTTACCTTGCTGTCAGACAGCCCTTTCTCACAGGGAGCTGCTGCTAAAACTGAACCTGGAACAGAAGCAAAAGAGGAAAATCGGAGTCTACATTTGCTAAGCTAGCACATTTACCTTACAACATGTGAAATATGTGGGTGCACAGATCAGATTCCTGCAGTCTGAAGAAATCTGGGAATGAATATAGTCGTCACTACTGAACTCTCTCTCCAAAACCTCAATGCAATTGGTCAGATATCTCTATACTAAAGACTTAAGGGCCATTAATTAGAAAACAAATGTCCAGAAAATCTTTTCCACATGTTTTTTTTTGTTTGTTTTTTAAATAAGAATTTTTACCTTTATTCTGTGTGCAGAGACCAGGCATGCCTCCATCCAGCCGTATGACCCCACAGGGACCAGCCATGGGCCCCCCAGGATATGGCAACAGCCCAGTGTCTCGCCCTGTGATGCCTGGCGTGATGGACCCGTCTCGCAAGAGGCCCGCCCCCCAACAGATTCAGCAGGTGCAGCAGCAGAACCGCAACCAGCAGTAAGTGGCCCTTCTCCTCGTGCAGCAGCCATGCTGCTTCTCTTCAACCAGGATCACCTTTGTTGTTCTAGACACATGGGGATATCAGCCTGTACAGAACTTAAAATTGTGTTTTGATTGTGATCAGAGGTCTCCATGGGTTTGTTATTTCAATCCTGCAGCCTCCCTCGGCCGCAGACACGCCATCCTGCTCCCATCCTCACCTGTTGAGATTTTGATTACTGCAACAGTTTTTTCATATTGAAAATCTGTCTTTCCTGTCCACATAGAAATAAGGGACATATAGAGACATGCCATTACAGTTACTCAACGGTTACTTGATGTGAATAAAAAATTAGGCTCAATAAATGTCTTTAAAAATAAAAAAAAAGCTTCAGCTTGATGCAGTGGGAACTAGAACAGGAAAAAATTCTCTTTTTCTAACACAAACCAGACTCTGGAACAGCAGTTTTGTTTAATGTTACTGACTACAGCTGAAACAATTAATCATATGATGAAACGACAGGAATGTAATTGACAGCTATTTTGATAGTTTAATAGATTTTTCATTTCAGTGTCCTGAATGCCAGGTTGGTCAGGTTCTCAAATGTGTTGGCTTTTCTCTGTTTGTTTAGAGGCATACATTAACATGCATGGTTCAGCACAGTAATGATAGTAACATCATCGCCGGATTAAATTCATATATGGATTACAAGGCTAACTGCTATACCATACAGTACAACATTTGTTTTTGGACCTGTGAGATCCTTATCCCACGAGCCCTTTAGACCAGGGACCAAATTATTGTTAAGTATTGCTCTGCTCTGACCCACATTTAAACGTGCCTTGTTTTGATCATTTGTTTTTGCAGCACAAAGAAGAAGAAGATGGCTGATAAAATTCTACCTCAGAGGGTGAGTATTAGTCACGCAGCAGTCCCTGGGAATCAATTAATTCTGGCCTTGATTGTGTTGGAAAGATTACATTTGCTTTTCCATTTGCAGTGTTTCCCACAGAATGACATTGTAACTGTGGCAGCTGGGGGGCGGGGGTTAGCAGGGTATATTTCTGGTTCCAGTAGGATATTTCTTATTTCACCATTTTAATTCTACTTCATTCTCCACCTTGTTTTAGTATTTACTCACTCAGTGTTTCCCACAGACACAGACAGTTGATTCTGACTAGCACCTATGTGCAGCGTGCTAACCTTGGCAGCCTTAGGTTACGTACATTGGTTGCTCATTACTTATTTGAAGGTGGGTGTCAGAAATTACCAGCGTTGTGTTGGACAGATTTCATGATACCAACATTAACCATTTAACCTTGGATTGATTCACTAATATTCTCTGCGTGGAAAAGCCAGCAACAACCCTTCCTCCTCCAGCGTATGATCATGTTTTGATTCAGACTGTGCATGAAGAAGAGGGACTATTTACAAACCGTTCAGTTGTCATTGTGTTTGAGAAAGAGAGGGGAGGACACAAGCGAGCCGGAGGATGTGCTGGGCAAATATATGCGCTGCCCGCAGCTCTGCAGACAATTACGATTTCTTGTTCATGTTTCATGTGGCGATTAGCGTTGATATTGTGGCCATAAATAAATCAATGTATGGGAAACAGTCACTAGTTGAATTTGCTTCCTTTCCCTTTAGTTCTCTTTCCTCTCACTCACATGCACACAACTGTACCTCTCTTCTCTTACTGTAAACACACCAGTTTGCCCCGCCTCTTTCTGTTTCACCCATGTGTCTGCTGTGTTGGCTTTCTTTATAAAATTCCCGAAAAGACACAGAACTCAGCTTTTGGCTTTTTCCACCTAGGCTTGTTCCTATTGGCGATTGGATCGCCTATCGACAATTCAAGGGATGATCAGCGATTGGTTTTTCGTGCGCCGATTTTAAGGCGCATTTAACTGACTCAGTATCAGAACTGTGATGACATAAAAACAGTCTCTAGAATCTGCACCACACTGCTCTGTTTCCCATTCATTGATTTCTTTGTGGCGACACGATAGCAATGCTGACTGCCACATAATACTGGCCTATTTAATGAGTAAAATCATAATGATGCATTCATTCACTCAGCACCTCCGCTTGCGTGCCCTCCATATTGCACAGCTACATATCTGAAAGTATTCATCTCGTCACAGAGAAGCTGGAGGCTGCATGGTAACTATAGCGTCTGCAGTTTCAGCATGTTTGATTATTGTGTAAAAGTTGTTGGAGCAGTTACACCTCAGGGCTCGTTTAAGCTTACTTAAGACAATTTTTACTGTCCCTCCTTCCAAAAGTTATTTATCAGTGTTACAACAAAACCAAAGACTTATAAGTTATGTTATACTGTTAATATCGGTTATTAAATACATCCTGGATATAAAAAAAAAAAACTAAAATGTGTAATCACAGTTAAAATTACAAAAAACAAAAAGGTTATAGTCAAAAACATACCAATAAGTCAAATATGACATGCTCTCTCACCTGCTGACAGCCATTCAATAAAAATTTTTTACACAGAGCAGCGGATTCAAGTGGCCTCTAGCCTAATAGCGCCATAGTAGCGACCTGTCAATCACAAGGTAGTCCTGCCCAAAAGCATACTCTGCATTATTGTCTATTTTACCCAAAATAGGGCCATTATTTACTAAATCAACATCATGCTGTGTTGAAGAAGACTTGAAACTAGCGACTGAAACCATAAACTCATTAGGAAAGTGTTTACTGAGGTAATAATTCAGATGAGAAGTTTTTACCATTATTTGTAATGGAACCGGACTTCTTTTTGCACCCAGCGGACTCGCCCACTGCTGGCCTTTAGAGAGAATCCAAGGTTAAGTACCATCTGCACAGTTTCACTTTCAGGACCCCAAGGTTGCTGCTTGATTAAGATTAGTGAAATAATATGACAACCACTCGTCACGTCACCACTGGATTGGACAACGGTGCACGCCAAGAGCTGCAAAACAACTACAAGAGTTTCTATTTTTTATTTTTTTTAAATACTGATGTTTTTGTTGCTAGTTCAACTGTCACAGTGTTACTTTTTATTGGCCTCGGGCCACCGTTATTGTCGAGCCCTGCACCTGCTTACTGTCGTGGTCTTGTTAGCTATGTTCTGCACATGTTTGAGACAGGTGACCACTTTATGAGATATAATTGAAAACTCTGTGTTCTGTGTGTTTCATTGGATGTTTTACCACCATTGTCTTGTCTGACAGATCAGGGAACTGGTCCCAGAGTCTCAGGCTTACATGGATCTGCTGGCTTTTGAGAGGAAGCTGGACCAGACCATCATGCGCAAGAGGCTGGACATTCAGGAGGCCCTCAAGAGGCCCATTAAGGTAGGTTTCAATTAAAGTCTTCACTCAGGTTGAGTCCTGAAATTAATTTCAAAGCCATTCAGAACCCTAGGGGCCTTTCTGCTCCCGATAACTACACATCATTCTGTAGAGGTGTGTTAAGGCAGTTCATACATTTCACTGGTTCCCATGTATGTGATTTTTATCAGTGAACCAGACTTCAAGTCATATGGATTTTTTAAAGTAAGGCGCTGCTGTGTTGTCATTTTTATAAAAAAGGAATGTTGATGCACTTGACAGAAATATTTTATACACTACTGGAGAATAGTAGTATATTGAATGGTGCCATATACCCAGCTAATCTTTGATGTTTTATTGAATGTCCTCTGGACGTCCACATTCAGCAAACCATATGTAATCTTAAATATAGCTTCACGCAGTCACAGCAGAGCTATCTCAGCTTTCCCTTGAGTAAAGTTGACATGACTTATTTTAATGAGCTGTGTTTAGAAAACTTAAGTTATCAAGTCATAGTTGAGTAAGTGATGGCACATCATTTTCTTTTGACTGATTGATTCCAGCAAAAGAGAAAGCTTCGGATCTTCATATCCAACACCTTCAACCCTGCAAAGCCAGATGCTGAGGATGGCGAAGGCACAGTTGCATCATGGGAGCTACGTGTTGAGGGGCGTCTACTGGAAGATGTAAGCTTCATGATTGAGATATATTGGTTTAATTTACTAAAATATGGATATTTTCTGTATGTACAGTATTTATTTATTTATTTATTAAATAAATACTGTACACACTAAACCTAACACTAAACTACTTCAACACTATTTCTTTACTCGATTCTTTTTTTCCCAAAACACTGCCAAAATAACCCTCTAAATTTTAAATGTCTTCTGTTGGGCTACATTGAGTAAAGACTATGAAACAGGGAATGTTTAGTTGTGATGTTAAATGTTCAAAATGTTTTACCAACACCAATTTTGTACAGAGAATAAAAACAAAATTGCTTGCATTCATATTTCCAATAACAGTAACATTTGCTTTGCAGACGGCCGTATCCAAGTATGAAGCCACAAAACAGAAGCGGAAGTTCTCCTCTTTCTTCAAGTCTCTGGTGATTGAGTTGGACAAGGATCTGTATGGTCCCGATAATCACCTTGTGGAAGTAAGATAATTTATTTGATGTATGTGAATATATACATCTATAGATTTTTACCCAGTTGTCCCTTCTAGGATTATGTATTATGTTCTCTGTTCTATCTATGAAAGGAGCGGTCACTGTTTTTCCCGTCATTTTCTGCTTTTAAAATCTCAATTAAATATAGGGCTACAGCTAACAATTATTTTCATATCGATTAATCTGCAGATTATTTTCTCAATTAAATGATTAATTATTCTGTATTTAAAATATCAGAAAACAGTATTTTTTAAAATGCCCCCATTATATTTTCCTAGAGTCCTTGCTGACATCTTTAGATTTCTTTTTTAATTATACAAGGCAAGTAAATGCAAAAATTCTTACTTTGGAGAATATAAACCCATCTCAAGTGTTTGACAATTTTGCTTAACATCAAAGTAGTTGCCAACTTAATCAACTCATAATTTCTGCTCTAATTCAGTTTTCTTTGTGTGTTATTTCTGTTTATTCCTTCATGGTTACTTTAGGTTTTAGATGGGGACACAACCTTGTTATTAGGGTCATTTAAATACAATCCGCTATCACAATGAGAAACTTATTTTATTATGTTTACTTTAATGGTGATCTAATGGTAGGAATTAGGTGTTTGTTGCTGCAGTGACAATTGAAAATGTGTCCTTGTAAATGAAGAATATCAGTTTATAGATCGATGGGTCTTGTTATTGAAATGTCCTTTTAGTGGCACAGGACTGCCACCACCCAAGAGACTGATGGGTTCCAGGTGAAGAGGCCTGGTGATGTGGGTGTTCGCTGCACCGTCCTGCTCATGCTTGACTACCAGGTAAATGCTTGGGGGTTCCTGTTTACTGCGTCTCAATAGGCCCTGAGGTGTGTTAATGTTGCCTTCAAGTGCTCTTCAAACATTTGTTCAGATATTGGAGAGGTTAATAAAAGGGACACCCAAATGTCACTTGTCAGTTTGCTTTAATCCCTGTCCCGCTTCCATCGTTGTTTCTTTACATTTCATTTAGTCATTCATCTGACGCTTACATCCAAAGCGACTTACAATTGCTATATATGTCAGAGGTTGCACGCTTCTGGAGCAACTAGGGGTTAAGTATCTTGCTCAGGGACACATTAGAGTCTCACAGTGGATTTGTACCCAGGTCTCTCACACCAAAGGCATGCATCTTATCCACTGTGCCATCACCACCCTTAATTCCACCACCTTTCTTTCTTCCAAACAGCCCCCTCAGTTCAAGCTGGACCCCCGGCTGGCTCGAATGCTGGGTATCCACACCCAGACCAGACCTGTCATCATTCAGGCCCTGTGGCAGTACGTCAAGACCCACAAACTCCAAGATCCTCATGAGCGCGAGTTCATTAACTGTGACAAATACCTGCAGCAGGTGAGTGGAGTCCTGTTTTTTATGTTAACACACCTTCAACCTTACATTAAATGTATACATGTATGTATACGCTCTAAAACACACAAAGCAGACCTTTTTGATCTTTAAAAACTTGAAAACAAACTTGAGCGGGTGCATGAAGCAGAAAGGATTGACACTGTCATGGGTGTCCTGCTTAATTCCTGCTCTTGCTCTCTACACTTCACTCTGTCCTTGTATGGATGGAGACTCTCACTCTTTCTGGGTCACTGCCTGGTTTCCCAGTGGATTTATTGCTACTGCGCAAAGATAAACAGGCTCATGGAAGGTTAATGGTGAATTCCTAAAAAGTGAACGCATCCACACAGTCAGTAAAAATGATCACTATAGATTGTAATAGCAGACCCCAACAAAGATGCTCACAAGTCTTTGAGCTAGAGTCCAAGTCAAGTCTCAAGTCTCTCGTGGTTATTACGAATGCTGTATCACCTGCTGTGTTCAATCCAGGTTGCTAATGAAACTGCATGGCTATAAGGAATTCTGTAACTGTAACCTGTTTTTCATTTACAGAGCACAGCCATGTAATGTGCAATGCAATTATTGACAGCTTATTAAATACTGTAAGTCAACATACTCCCCAGACTCTTAAACCCAGTGTAACGTTAACTAAATAAAACTGTGATGTTGCATAATCAACAATAAACCTGTAACCTGTTTTTAACTTACAGAGCACAACCATAATGTGCAATGCAATCACTGACAACTTAAACTATTGTAAGTCAACAATCCACTAGACTCTCAAACCAGTGTAACGTTATAACTAAATAAAACTGTAAGGTTACATGATCAACAATAAACCTGTAACCTCTTTCTAGCCAACAGTAATAATTAACGTGATGATTACGTTAATCGACCACCACAAGTTCGGCAAGTAAACAAACGCTCATTCATGGCTATATATAGCGTGCTAGCCTATTAGCTAGGCTCCTAATGTGCTTGCTAATAACGTTTTTTAAGCTGGGTCTCTGACATTGACAGCATTGTGTTGGACAAATTTGTGCAGCTGTGTTCGTGAGGGAGAGAGAGGGACGGGTGAGAGGATGTGCTGCGCGAATGCGCTACGGCGCTCTGCAATCAAATACGATATTAAATTGGCCTAGTAAAAAAAAAAAAAGTTGAAAATCAATCATCATGTGGTGGTCAGCTTTCATATTGTGGCGGGCTGCCACAAATAAATGTACGTATGGGAAACACTGAGTGTATTTATTCAAAATAAGCATAAATACTTGAGCCACAGGGAAGTTCATGGCACTCTTACTTTGAACATAAAGCTGCCCAGGGACTGCAGATGAAAGTTTGCCTTTTGGCTAAATCTTGACACATTTACATTATATTGATGTGTTAATTAGCTAGATAGTTGGATAAAATAAATCATTAAAGCAAAGTAACTCAACCTGTTCTCCAGTATTGTCTCTATAATTGGCAGGTCTACATTTAGTGGTGTGTCCAAGCAGTATTTGCTACATAAGTAAAGTGTGTGCTGGTTTCATTTTGCAGATCTTTGAGACTCAGCGAATGAAGTTTTCTGAGATCCCGCAGCGCTTGCATGCACTCCTGATGCCCCCAGAGCCCATCATCATCAACCATGTGATCAGGTAACCTCTTTACAACAATGCATATATGAAGCTGGACTGTTGTTTAAACCCAGTCTTGATGGTTAATTGAATCACCTGCTGCTAATGCGATATATCCACATACTGCTAAAACTAAAGGTACTGTATTCTTTTATAGTGTGGACCCTAATGACCAAAAGAAGACTGCCTGCTATGACATTGACGTAGAAGTGGACGACACACTGAAGACCCAGATGAACTCCTTCCTGCTGTCCACAGCCAGTCAGCAGGAAATAGCAGGACTGGACAACAAGGTAAAGACCCCGAGTTTCAGGCAGACACATCCTTCGCCTGAGTAATGAAAGGGACACGTGTTTCCTGTTTCCTGCTGTATTTCTGTTCTTTTTTTTGTGGGTTTTTGATCTATGAAATTACTCGACCTTTAGAACATCTTGTACTTCAACAAATGTCACACAAAGAGAAAGCACCTCTTATTTTCATGGAGTAGTTTGTAATAGCACGTCTTTCTTCGTGACACTTTCTATCTGTCATGCAGAGGTGATTTTAAGCACACTCAACTCAGATACAACCTGAATGGGCAGATTTGTCATGTAGTTTCTGTTCCGTTGAGCTGCTGTGTAGGTTTCTTTCCCCTGTTTTGTGAGCCTGCTGAGGGCAATTTCACGCATATCTGCTCTCCCAAATGGTTGCCTGTAAATGATTGCCTTCTTTTAAGCCCATTTTGAGGTCAGTCAGGTCTTCTTGGCCTCCTGCTAGCAGCCATTACCTTGGCTGGGATAGCTGTAATCACATTGATAAGAGACAGAGCCGTTCCCCTGAGAGACGTCCTCCGGTGTAGTCTTTGTTCAGAAGTCAACAGTGTAAATAGAGAACATGTTTGTAGTTTACAGGCGCCATTCATTTGGTTAGTTTATTTTGGTGACTACTACTGATATACACCCGGTTCCTGTCGGGTTGATATAACAGTTTGTAGCAAAGCCTTAGTTTTCTCTGTAAGTATATTGTCTTGTGATACTAAAAAGATCATCAGATTCATGTAAACTTCGGACAGGAGAGACATTCCCCTTATACCCGTCTTTATATACCTGTGTTTAACCCACTTCTTCCAACTCGAAACTGACTCCTTTACTCCAGCTGTAATGGCCTGCAGTCTCCCGTTGTCATGAGATGCTGATCAGGCAATGCAACTGTAGAACTGTATTACACTCAGCATTGCACCTGTGGGTCTGACCATGATAATGAGGTGGGTCGTCTATGCTGGTCCCTGATCTACTGTCCTTCTACCCTGACGGTCAATATGAGTTGTGAGCTTGTTGTGAAACAAGTTAATAGCTTGTAGTAGATATAGAGAATCTGCTGACTGTTGTGTCATTCTTATTACTGCAGTGATGTTTTTTCATGCGTTATTTTGTGGTAAAGGTTTGCTTTATCACATCTGTTCTTTTTTTATTGGAAAGAACACAGCAGTCTTGGTTTGTTTCCATCTTTTTTGCCAGAGATTCATTAAACCAGCGAAGAAGGCTTAGTAATTACTTGTATATCTAAGACAGCACTTCGCAAAGCGGGTAGCTCTAAAGTTCCCTGTGGCATTTTCTTATAAACATACAAGATGTAGTTTACATTCAGTGTTATTCAAAAAAGTGCATTGCTGTATCATTAAGATCTTTACTTTATTTGGCAGGGACAGTATTAATGACATTGCTAAAAAAACACATGCCAGAGTTAGCCAGAAAGGCAAATTTTCATCTGTAGTCCTGGGGTAAGTAGTAGTTGAAAGCATGATGTTAAGGATAAAAGTGTTGAAAATACAATTAAGTGAAAAATATGCAGATACAGAGCCTGCACTGCATAGAGACAAGAGAGACAGCTCTTATGACGCACAGAAACAACAATACCATGACAACACAAAGTTAGGTCTGATGCAGTGTGGATATTATGTACAGAGGCTAAATTGAGCATGAGCAGCTCTTGCACTAAACATAAGACGCAGGATTATTCCTTTTTTTTACTGTATATTTTTAATAATATATCATTATAGTAAAAAAAAAAACCTGGCTGCATTTACATTAACTACATGTTTTATAATATACAATTTCAAATGTATCAAAATGAAAGAAAGCCCTGTTATTATTATTCTGCCGCTAAGGCTGATGACAACAGCTCACATTTGCTTGGTTGTTGTAGTAATGCAATCATACTTTCTGGCAAGTTTTCCAGGTCCACAGTAGTTAAAAATGGCAAATGTCAGAGCAAGCAGTGTAAAGATTTGTTGCTGTAACTAAAGCTCAAACAATGCTCATACATCTTTGGGGGCCACAAGGAAGCGGTGCTGTGGTTTTTAAAAACAGTTTTGGAAGCACTGATCTAGGGAACACTTTATGGAAAATGCTGATTAAGAAAACACCTTTTCTCACTTTTTCTGTATCAATGATATTCTTAATCCGGTGTAATTAATACCAACTATTTTTCTTTTCAGATCCATGAAACCATTGAGACCATTAACCAGCTGAAGACCCAGAGAGAGTTCATGTTGAGTTTTGCCAGAGATCCTCAGGGCTTTATCAACGACTGGCTGCAATCCCAGTGCAGAGACCTCAAGGTGAGTCTGTCTCTCGTGACTGCTGGCTGAATCTTCTAGAAACTTCAGGTGCCAAGTTGCTTCTTCTTGAAAACAAAAAGGATCCACCTTACCGCACATCATCAGTATTTATCACATCGACTGACAGTGTACCGTCAATCCCTACATGCTGTGTGTGCTTTTAAATACTAGAAACCATTTAAATCGGGTAGAATTTCGGGGATAAATATGTTAGTAGTTCAGAGAGAAATTCTGTACAGATTTGTGAGTTGGGTTATTTCAATAAAATTTACTTGATAACCCATTAAAATGCAGCAACTACAAGCACATTCTGTAGGTGCTATAACATAACAAGATATTAAGGAATGTAGAAAAACACTATCAGAAGCAGAATAAAGCAAGCGGATACAAGAAAAATCAATTCCTGCACTTAAAAAAAGCACACCTGGAGAACACTCATCACCAATAGATGGACCTAAGAGTATCTCAGTAGGAAACACTCTTTTAAACTAACTTAAACAGCAACCTGGCATGCATTGATATCTAACGTCAAGAAACAGTCATAAACATAGCCTCTGGCTAAGTTCAGTTCAGAAAATTCCTTGAGGTCATGTCCGAGGTTAAAAATATTCAGTCTTGCCGTGGTTTTCTGTGGCACAGTTACTTCAAGGTTCAACTGTGGGGGGGAAGAGGGCTCCATTACGTAAGTGCACCATGCTCTCTGAAAACACAGGGTTCATGCTAACTCAGGTGTGACAAAGGAGGGCAGAGTCAAAATAGAGCGTGAAACATTTAATAACATGTCTGAGTGGATACACACCCACCTCCCCCTCCGTCCATGAGCCGATTAACTGCTGACCTGCTGTCACCCACCTGCAGTGTTTGTTCAGCCAAATCTCTGTGAAATTGAACGAATTCAGTCCAAAGCTTGCAGGCTGCTTCCACAGCAACAACCCAGTCAACCTAATCCACAAAAAAAAGTTATCTTGTGACAATATGTTCGCCATTGCTGCGATTTGATTCAGGCGCTCTGATAGATGTTATTTACCCTTACAGCATCCAGCATCCAGTGCTCTGTAATTTCTCCGCTGTCGGACCAGTGAAGTTATATCTAAAGGTGTTTTTCTCTTTTTACAGACGATGACAGATGTGGTAGGAAACCCAGAAGAAGAGCGAAGAGCAGAGTTTTACTACCAGCCCTGGGCTCAGGAGGCGGTCTGTCGCTACTTCTACTCCAAGGTAACCTGTTTTTCCTCTTCTTATTCTTCCTTCTATGTTTTGTCTTTATGTTTAGCCATGCTAGGCTACATGGTCCTACTTTGTTCCAGAATTTGGTGCAGACTGTATTATCTCAGTTATTTGATGAATTGCCATGGAAGGTTGTATTCATGTTCTCAGAGAATGGATCACATTGACATTGGTGATCCCCTGACTTTTTCTGTAGTGCCACCATGAGGTTGACATTTGTGGTTTTAAGTGAAATGTCTCAACAACTATTTGATGGATTTCCATGAAAATTGGTACTGACATTCATGGTGCCTAGAAGATGAATTATAACAACTTTGGTGATCAGTTTTACTTAGTTTAGTGCTAATTGAGGCTGCAACTAATAAATTATCTGCCAATTATTTTCTTGAGAAATTGTGTCAAATGTCACAAAACTTATGGGGGGGGGGAGCAACAACTGCAGATAGTTTCAGTCACTTCTGCTTATTTTTTCCAACTAACAATCCAAAACCAAAGTTATTCAATTTACTATCAGATACTACAAAGAAAAGCAGCAAATCATCACATTATTTTCCTGTTGATATACTAACTAGTTAATTGTTTCAGATCTAGTACTAATTAGCAAATGTTAGCATGTTAACACACTAAGTAAAGATGGTAAACATAGAGCTAGATAAGTAGGGGTCATGCCATAGACTAGCAGCTCTTTTCTTGGTTAAAATTAGGATTTAAAGGCAGCTTGAGAGAATAGTGTCACCTACCCCAGTAGAGCATAGCATGCTCTGTGTTAGCATGGCTGTAGACTCTTAGTTGTTTGTTGTCATCCCCATTGTTGACAAATTATCATAGCATTGTCTCCTGGTGATTAAATATTTTTTTGTGAAAACATCAGGTCCAGCAGAGGCGGCAGGAGCTGGAGCAGGCACTCGGCATCAGGAACACCTAGAGAAATGTGTCCATCCACAGGCGGCAAATAAGGAGACGCACTGTGCCGTCAGAGATGACTAACATGTGCGTGTGCCGGATTTTCAAAATGAATTCCTCAGAGTTTTTTGACAAACTTAGAGAGACGTAGATACTAGATGGCTTTACCGTTATATAGAATGTCCTTTTTTTGTCGTCACCCTGCAGCTCGACTACTATTGCAGATAGCAGTTTGGTTGCTACTTCCACTTATTTTTGTGTTCCCCCCTCCCCCAATCACACCGGAGCTCCTTGAGCACAATGTATTTTCTCTTGCATGTCTAAGCCTTACCTGGAAGCATTCCTTTCATTTTGCGCCCACAATAAAGTACAGATTGTACACAAATGAAAAGCAGAGGGCAGATTGTACTGGCCAACTTTTTAATGTATTTTGTACCCAAATCTAAAAATATCTTAAATCAGCTGGAATGTGTTGATTCTGCCATGTTCCCCTTTTTTAGAAAGTAGATTTACATTTTGCACTCCTAACCCGGCCCCAAGATGCTTGTTCATTCAATTAGATATTGATTGTGATTGTGTTTGTAATCAATCAGGCTACTTTGCTGCACATTGGCTGTTCATGTGTCACTTTGTCTTAAGTTCTCATCGGTTTGTTTTGACAGTTTGTGCCACAGTCTCGAGAGTTGAGAGACGTTGAAAAGCTCAATCAAGGCAAAATATACATCTTTTGTTAAGAGTGGCATTTAGTATGAAGTTGTTTCTTTTCTTTATTATCAATGATCCTTGTTTTAAAATATGTATTATATCAGTACTTGTCTTGTTAGCTAGTACAGATTATCAAGGAAGTAGCTAGTATGAGTACCTCTAGTCTATATAGTTTTGTAAATACTGAGCAGAAAAAAAACTGATGGATGTGAAGTAAAATTGTATCTCTTATCCTGGCAGATGTTTTCTCAACTCTTTGTCTATGCTCAGATAGTTGAACCAGTATTTATATCGTTAACCAGACCTCGCTGTCAGAGCACACTGATTTAGCTCTCCACAACATAAAGACGGCAGTTTGACGAGCCACTGCTCTGCGGGACAAAATGGCTTTCACATCGCCTGCAGGCTGCGAAACGTTCAATCTTCTGCTTTTAGTTTTGTGTATTTTAATTATGTGCAGAGAAGCCATAAACACTTGAACAAGCTCGGTCGCACGTGCGGGCGAGCAGATTTAAGGAGTCGTAGCTTCTTCGTACGCTGGCTGAAGACCTGACGCCTTTTTTCGGTTTAATGGTTGTTTCTCTGAAGGTGAAGATGAGTGTCCTGGCTGAAACGTGTGTGTGTGTGTGTGTGTGTGTGTGTGTGTGTGTGTGTGCATTTCATTAATGAATTCCAAGAATACACTAATGTGGGTTTGGGCGGGTACATGTGCTGAAACAAGCGGTGGGAACCTCTGGGGTATAAAACACAACACTGGGGGGACTGTAGTATTATTTGAATCTGCAGACTTTTTCATGGACCAAACCTATTTTTCTGTATGTTCTTATTATGTTATAATAAAGGATATGTAAAATGTACTAGTTTGTGTCTGACAATGATTTATTTTACCTCTTCATGATGAAAAACTGCTTTAATATGCCTTTATAGGATAACAATACAGCTGCAACTAACAATTATGGTGGATGTACACCAGTGCTTAAAAGCATCAGTGCTACAATGTACAAATACTTTATTACAAGTAAAGGTCCTACTTAAGTATTTAAAAGTGCTTTGTTAATATTGTTAATGATATCCGTGCATGAGCAGCATTTTGCTGTTAGCTGCTCGAGGTGGAGCTATAGTTGCTTCCCAACCTTAGGGTTTAATCTTTAAAACTGTATTGTATTTTATAAACTAAAGTTTTTTTAATGTAAAATAAGTCTTAGTCTGAAAAGTAACTAGTGATTATGATAAATGTAGTGGACTGAAAAGTATATTTCCCTCTGAAATGTAGTTGAGTAGAAGTGTGAAGTAGCAAAATGGAAATACTCGAGCAGTTTTAAAGTTGTTAAAACAGCTAAAGTTAAAGTAGCATAGTAATGAAAAAAATGAATATTAGTTATGTTGCACCACTGATTTTCACACTTGAGCAGCAGCACCCATAAGATGTTGAGTATTTGTGTTTGAAAATGACTTAATAAATTGGTAATCAATATTGTTGCAGATTAATTTTCTGTTGATTGATTAATAACCTACTAAACATTTCAGCTATAGATTGTGATGCATTTGAGGGACCAGCATTTTCTATAAAATAAGACTGTGTGAGCTTGTCACTAGGAGGCAGCAACACAATTAACTAATATAACTTATTAATAAAACCAACTAAATTAACTGCTGTTCTCTTAAAAGTCATCATATTGCTTCCTCAGTGACTTGAGTTTGTATAATGTCAACTTGCAGGAGAAAAACATGATCATTGTGTGAACAGGCTATGTGTGTGTGAGAGAGAGAGAGAGAGAGTTTATTCCTGAGAGGCGACAGAGCAGACCAACCAACAGGAGAGGGTGTGCCTGTGCCTCAGCCATGTGTCCAGTATAAATACCTTTTGTCCCAGCTTGAGTCTGTCTTCACAGCGGCAGCAGCTCCGCCTGGAAGTTAAACACGTGATGGCAGCACCGAAGAAAGTCTGTGTGGTTGGCTCTGGTAACTGGTGAGTAGAAGGGATATTAGAGGGTTTGAATGAATGCACTTTTCAATGTCTTTCACTGTTTATTTATTTGGGTCTGTCAGTGGTGCAAAATAATGAGTTTATAGTTTGTTGTCTGGATTGGATTTCACACAGTGAAGTTTTGTGTGAATGTGGTCTAAAAGTTGGGAAACTGGAAGAAAGAGGACATTAGCCTTTGTGAATAGCACATAAATACTACATGAAGTTAATAAACTCACCTGCTGTTTTGCTGAGTGGATTTTGCTTTTTCAGAGAGGGGGTCCTCTGAGACGCTGAAGGTCTGAGTTTATGGTGACCTTTCATGCCTCAAAAATTCAAAATCTTTTTTGAAGAATCAGCTCCTGCCTTTTTATGATGTAGCAGTATTTGTGCTGAATCAGCTGTCATGTGGGGTTGTTATCCCTCAGCCAGCATGACATTTAGATTAGTCAGTGGAGGAAGAAGTATTCAGATACTTAAGTTAAAGCAGCAATACCACAATGTGAAAATACTCCATTACTAGTGAAAAGCCTTAGTGTCATTATCAGCAACATGTAACTAAAGTAATAGAAGTACTCATTATGCAAGCATAGAGGCTCTTGTCAGTGTATATTAAAATGTATTATATAATTATGGTTATTATTGATGCAATAACACATGAGCAGCATTTTAATACAGCTGGTAGATAGGGAGATTTTTTAACTAATATATATGTTTTTTTATACAAAATCTTAATCTGCGATGTAATTATGCATACAAAAATGCAGTGGAACAAAAAGTACAATGTTTCCCTCTGAAATGTAGTGGGTTTTAAATAGCATTAAATGGAAATACTAAGTAAAGTACCTTACAATTGTAAAGAGTATATACATTCCACAACAGATAAATTGTGACTGGACAGAAGTCTAACTGAAATGTGCTAATAAATACCAACTTACTGATACATAATATTGATATATGATCTTAAAAAGGAATTTTTCATACATCTTATCCTGTGTTATGTGGATAATTAATACCCCGTCTTGAAATAAGACTCTCCTCATGACTAAAAAATGGTCTTCTATTATTCTTTTTCACCTGTAGTGTTATTCTTGTCAGTAAAAGCATCTGAAAAACTGTGCAACTCCTGTCACTCAACATTTCTTCACAACAATTCTATGACTAAGACTAATAGAGGTCACAAGTCATTTTGACATTTATCATCATACAATACATTACTGCGTAAACATTGGACCTTAGTTTATTTTCTTTATGTGATATTTATTTATTGCCTATGTATAAATTGCTTGCTTGATGGCGGTGTGATGACTGCTTACTGTACAATAACTTTCCCCTCAGGGATAAAACAGATAGCCTTGACCCTTGGTCTTTAAATCAATTACAAACTGTAAGAAGTTATCCAAGAAATATATAAAATCAGGGCAGGGCATCCTTAATATCAGTAAAAATTGATGAAAAGAACATTTTCTTGTGTAAAAATACACAAATACATAAAAAGTCAGTATAAGCTAGAGCAACATCAGAGAATTAATATGACCTCCAGACCAGATATATTACAATGTTTCCATTGTGTGCCTCCATGTCTTCAGGGGCTCTGCCATTGCCAAGATTGTGGGTGCCAACGCAGCCAAGTATGACAAGTTTGAGACCACAGTGAACATGTGGGTGTTCGAAGAGATGGTGAACGGCCGTAAACTCACAGAAATCATCAACACAGACCATGAAAATGTGAAATATCTGCCCGGTCACAAGCTGCCCCCCAATGTGGTGAGCATGAGAACTGATCTTGTTGACTAGTAGTGGTCACACACTGTATTTTTTGTTTCCGTACGACTGAAGTTTCACCAGATTCTTCTCTTGTCATCAGTTGGCTGTTCCAGACTTGGCTGAGTCTGTGAAAGGAGCTGACATCCTGATCTTTGTGGTCCCTCATCAGTTCATTGTGAGAGTATGCGACACCATTAAGGACCACATCAAGAAGGACGCTGTAGGAATGTCTCTTATCAAGGTATCATTTTTATGCCTCTGCGATGGCGACAGCCATGGCCGGAGGCATCATGTTTTCAGGTTGTCTGTCCATCCGTCCCATTCTCGTGAGCGTGATATCTCAGGAATGCCTTTCTTCAAGTTGGGCACAAACGTCCACTTGGACTCAAGGACAAACTGATGAGAATCTGGTGGTCAAAGTTCAAGGTCACTGTGATGTCACAAAACACGTTATTGGCCATTGGACACACAGGTTTGAATTTCACTTCAGCCATTATTTAACACCATAACTCAGAAACAGAAAGGGAGATTGTGACCGTATCTTACTAATGGTCAGACACTGAATAGATGACACTTTTGAGTCAAAGGTCATTGTGAGGTTTGTAGCCCTAATTTAAGAAGGGCAATTCCAGATTTCACACACACCTTGACTGGGACGACACAATGCATAAACGATAACTAGCACAGCACTGGCTTTCCTCCATCTCGTCCATTCTGCCTTTCACTTCCTGCCTCATTCTGAATTTCGAACGTTATGCGACTCACATGACTGCAAACAACATAGTGGAGCTCGCCTAGCTTATCGTGTTTCTAGGAGTGAGTGAGTGAGTTTCACCTACAGCTTACAGAGAAGCTTTGCATCTAAAAATGCCAGGAGAAAACAAAAGCACCACATTTTGTGTCGCTATACTGTATAAGAATTCATGTTTACACACTATTCAGGTAGGCATGTGTACCTGTTTAGCCAATACATCTATGATAATCCTTCACTAATCAGTCCAACAATGTAGCTATATTAATGGAATCATACAATTGTGTCGTCAATATAGTCATTATCTTCCATTTAACCAAATATTCTTTATACCTAGTATTTAAATCGTTTGAAGTATTCAGTACATAGTATTATATGAGTCTGGACAGACATGGATGTAAACTGCAACTTGACTGGTTGGCAGTAATTCTAGTTTTCTTATCAACATATTTTGTGTTCATAAAGGAATGAAATAATAAAACAGGAAGTTACCTGTCTCACAATGCATCTTTCATGATACACAGTGATTTCTTGATTTTCCTGGTTATCTGTGTGCTCTAGGGCGTTGATGCAGGTCCAGAGGGTCTGAAGCTGATCTCGGAGGTCATTCGAGGGAAGCTGGGCATCGCCATGACGGTCCTCATGGGAGCAAACATTGCCAATGAGGTCGCTGAGGAGAAGTTCTGTGAAACAACCATCGGTATTAAGGATGAGAGCAGGACATGTGTTGAGTTTCATTCTTGAGTTAGCGGTCATGGGCCCAAAGTGACATTTGTCTTTTAGCGAGGACTTGCTATGAGAGTAAAGCACAGTGGTGCACTGTATCCGAATGCAATGTTTACAGGACACATTCATGTGCTGAAATATAAACAAATCATTTAATTTTTTTTCAAAACTAGATGCACTCAGTGGCTCCTATAGTTAGAGGAAGACATTACTGGGTGATTTTTGATATAGCTACAGCCTAATTAACATACAGCAGGTTGTAGGCTATTGGTCAAAAAGATCATCAAACATTAAAGAGAATGAGTGTGGGGTGCTCTGTTCCTCAGTTTCTATGAAATCAGTATTTAATACAGAACATCCTGAAATTTTAATTTAAATTTGAAAGGTTTTAACAGAATTATAGGCTTATTTGTCAACATATTTATTGTTCTATACAGTATATGCTATGGAAACTGATGATGAAAGTTTAATGTGTTATTATTGGACGCAGGGTGCAAAGACAAGGCTTACGGGCCAATGCTGAAGGAGCTGATGCAGACCACCAACTTCCGTGTGTCTGTGGTGGAAGAGTCTGATGTTGTGGAGATTTGCGGGGCGCTCAAGGTCGGCTTTTGTCCAAACAAATTTACTCCTCGACTTTCACATCCATCTGACCACTGTCGCAGAAATGTCAATGTCGTGTCTGTGCTTAGGTTTTTAAAAACACATTATTACACACTGCATCGAATGTTGTCATAGCCAGAAGAATGTTGTCATAGCCAGAAGAAGTCCATTTACAAGATAATGTTTTGTAGTTTAATACTAGAAGGACATCCACTGATATATCTCATCAAATTTACCTTTTGCTAAAACATCTGTAGTCATTCAGACATCTTTTTGAAAGCCAGTTATCTTAAAACCTTTTCAGGGAAAACTTTAAAATGACATGGTTTATTGCAAAATGATGAAAGAGATACATCTGCTCGTCTTCAAGGGGCAGTATTGGTCCCAAAAAACCTTAAATTGTAAATTTCACAGACTAATCACTAATAATCTCATTGTGTTTTTGGTCATTTGGGGGTTTAATATGGAAACAATATTTAACAGGATGTGGTTAGGCTATGCATCATTAGCAGTAACCCAAAGAGACAAATCTAACCAATCAATGTATGATAGCCAGGAAAAAATATGAAAATTTTATTTTTGGGGCATTGTTTTCTTATTTCAACAGTTAGATTAATCAAAAGCATAAGTAGGCCTAAACACCTTAACATGTAAAGTGTGCAATACATTAACAGCAGCATCTCCTCTTTCTCGTTGCTGCAGAACATTGTAGCTGTTGGGGCAGGTTTCTGTGATGGCCTGGGATTTGGCGACAACACCAAGGCAGCAGTGATTCGTCTCGGCCTGATGGAGATGATCGCCTTCGCCAGGGTCTTCTGCACAAACTGCCCTGTCTCCCCGGCCACCTTCCTGGAGAGCTGTGGCATCGCTGACCTCATCACAACCTGCTACGGTGGACGCAACCGCAAGATCGGGGAAGCTTTCGCCAAAACAGGCAAAGTACGGAGAACAGGTTTTTTGTCTTCCTCTGTATTTCTCTTTGGTAATAACTCCCCTTCTTATGAAACCCATGGTGATGTAAGATCAACCATCAAACGTATCCCTCTGTTTAGACCATTGAGCAGTTAGAGAATGAGCTGCTGAACGGTCAGAAACTTCAAGGTCCAGCGACTGCAAGTGAGGTCCACCAAGTCTTGAAACAGAAAAACATGGCGGAAAAGTAAGTTTGATGAAGAGGATCTTAATCACAAGATGGCTTATTTATTATTTCTACTATTACTGATGCATGTCAGTTTAACTAAGTGCATTTGAATTAGGATTCAACTGGTATCTTCAGAAAATAATATTTGAGTTCACATTATGTTAAAAATTAACATGGTATTTAAAGGAATAATTTGACATTTTGGGAAATGTGCTATTTAGGCTTTCTGTCTGAGTCAGATCAGAGCATTTACCATAAACCATTTTTTATCACCCTAAGATGGTGAAGTCATGACCCTCCCTACTCTGCCTCTGATTGGCTAATACTAGTTGCATTTGATGGTTGAGTTGGTTAGATGTTAATGAAGCTAACGTCAAAGAATTAACATGTGTAGATGATGTGATGAAAAGACTAGGAGTCATTGGCTTAAACACATCTGGTGTATACATTTGTGCGTGGGACATATAGCTGAGTTACCTAGCTTGTAGCAACCAAGCAATGAACATTAGCTAGCATTACAGCGTTAACATGTTGGTGACGTATTTCGGGCGAGATGAGAGATTTAGTTCATTGAGCTGTTTTCACACAAATGTTTACTTTACTAGTTTACAACTAACTTGACAATTAAATTGACAAACATCATTCAGGCCACAATTCAAACAGGATCAAAACATTAATTGTCTCAGAGTTGGGCGGGTCATGCCTTTGCCATCCTGGGAAAAAATCACGTATAATAAAAATTATGCTACAACTAGCAGCTGGTTAGCTAAGTTTAGCAACCTCCAAAGGAGTATGTTATATATTGTTTGTTTAATACATACAAAAAACATATAAAAGTGTAAAATAGCAATAAATTGTGGTTTTATGAGGGATTATGTGCTGGATTATGTCTTGGCCAGACAAACAAACAAGCTTTAATGTAAATTAGCGGGCTTAAGAGATGCTAGTAGGTTTTTTTACCTTCAGACAGAACCAGGCTAGCTGTCTTTATACTAAATCAAGCTACGCAAAACAGCTGCTGGGTGTAGCTTCATATAGCCTACAAGGATAGGAGATGTACCAATCTTCTCATCTAACTCTCAGCAAGAAAGTGAATAAGCCTATTTCCCAAAATGTTTAACTATTCCTTTAATAATTTCCATCATCATTCTTTCGCCTCTCCAGGTTTCCTCTTTTCACTGCTGTTTACCAGATCTGCTTCAACGGCCACGCAGTCACAGAGTTCATCAACTGTTTGCAGAACCACCCAGAACACATGTGAAGGAGCATGGACTGATGAATGGGTGGAAGTTGAGCTTTTACACTACTGTACAACCCAGGTGATTATAAAGGGGGGAAGGTTATGTGAAGACCGTGCCTAATCTTGACTACTTTCATGTTTGAATCTCAAACAGAAAAGGGGGAAAAAATGGAGCGGAGTTGTCTTCTTTACCGGAGCTGCGGTGTTGACCAGCTTTCTATTCCATTACGGAAAGAAGCATAACTCCTTTTTGTTTTTACTGATTAGACACACACATGTCACAGACTGATGCATACATCTACCAAGTCTTAAAAGTTTCAGAATTTGAATTACTCTGCCTTACACAACACACGAACCCCGACCTTAATGTTACGAAATGTTACACCATTTCTTGTTTAGAAGTGCCTTGTCTTTTCACTGTATGTTTTCCAATGTTAAACAAAGCACTGCACACACACACACACTAGTTACCACTCCTGCTGTGTTGTTTTTCTTCTGGACTTATTAAGATGCAGCCAACTACCTAACAAGATTTATTTTGGAATAAATTATTGAACTTGTTGCCTTTGTGCCTGTGTTTGTGTTTAAAGTTTTCTTTTTAACTTGCTTGTATCTGCCTGCAGGACATACTCACATAAACCCTACAGCCTCACTGTAACCTGACCTGAGCTTAGTCAGGCTGCCACTCTAAACTCTTCACCTTTACCATTTTCTTCTTTCAACTTCAACCTTTCTTTAAGGTCACATCCTGCCTCAGTCCTAATAGGTGATGGCTGTGTTGTTCAGTATGGATTATTGATAGTGATGTAATTAATTCAGTGACTTTATAAATGTCTTTGTAACAAAAAACAACCCACTAGATTAACAACATTTTTATTCTGTTGAGTAATTTACAAACCAATCTAACTTTTTCTGCATTCTGTTAAAATGCAAGCAACCAGTATGTGTTCATTAACAGCCATCTGTCTGTCACCATATGTCAATGTATCCCCTCAATGCTCAGTCACTGTAAGTCACAGTGGATAAGAGTTTCAGCCAAAGGCACCATGGAAGGCAAGGGGGTAGCCTATTTCCCCTGGCTGTGAAGTGGTATTATACATTCCCTGCCTTGCCAATATTCTCAAGCAAAAATCCTCTCTGAGTATCCATATACATATATATATATATATATATATATATACAAATCCATCCATTATTTTGGCGACCGTGAAGTTACATACATTTGCCACTTGTTTAAAATTTGATTCCCTTGCTGAAATATTTTGCATAGTTATTGAGTCAACTGCCCTGTGAGATTTCTAATAATAACACGCTCCAAAGGGTCAAAATATCCATCTATAATTAGACGGCGGACAGCACTGCAGCTGCCTCATCCCTGCTTAACAACACAGGTGTAAGGATGCCTTTTATCGAAATACTACACCATTGTGGTGACATTAAAAAATCATAATGTTGCTGTCATATTTCAGTCACTTCGAGCTCCATTTTAAAGTTTGGATATTTTAAATGAATAGTTACAATATTTATAAGGACTTTTAATGGGGCACGATGTACGTCTGAGCTCTTACAGAAATAAAATACCCTACTTGTATAGGTCAAGATGTTACATAATATTGGACTATTTGTAGTTGTAGTACATCCATTGGCCACATGGGTGTGCCATCACATCAACAACAAGCCCATCACTCCTGTTACCTTTATCGACCTTTGATAACGGTTCCTTTTGAGATAACCTGTTCAGATAACCAGTTGGATTAAGCTGTCAAATCTCCCAAGGTATGCTAAAGTATGATAACTCAAATATTAAAGTATCTAACTACAGTCTGGCTCTAACAAAAAATCCCAGCAGGGATGGATCATGCCATGCAAGGAGGAGGGACTCGCCTCACTTCCTCAATTCCTCATCTCATGGCGGCAGCCAAGATTGGTCAATCTCGCTGCTGACAACCATAAAATACAGGAAACTGGGCTGTTACTTTCAAAATTAAAAAGTAAAATTGAATGTAACGAGAGAAATTGAGTCTTTCAAGCCCGTCAGTAAGTAGATGGTAATTAGCATGACCAACAGATAATTCCTTTTGTTGAATGGAAACAGCTAATTGAACGTCCAGTTTCAAAAAGCTGCTGAGCATTTAGCCTGTTTTTTTTATTATAAATCTGAGGTCAAGTCTCCTGAGCTTTTTGTCTTCAAGTCTCAAGTCTTCAAGCAAAGGAGTGCAAATTTGGTTATAAGTCCTTTGTATAACTGAAGTCTGACAGGAGTCAAGAGTAAGTAAAGAAACCAATCTTGTAAAAACCCTAACTGAACAAAACAGTGAACAGTTTTTAAATACTAAAGTATTGCCTATTAAGTTTAAAACAACAAGCAAAAACGAACGTTGGCGGTTGGGAATATTATTTTGAAAATCTAAGCCGGAAGTCTAGTTCCTATTGTCTTTTTAACACTGGTCCGTTAAACTAAGTGTGCGGTAAAGAGCGTGGCAAGTCACCAGAAAAGTGACCCAGGGACGGGTCCTTTCTTTCGGATAAGAAACTATTTTTTTCTACCCGTCCGGAGATAGGAACACTCTGAAACATGGCTGCTCTTTCAGCCTGGTTTTGGAACGAGAGGTTTTGGCTGCCACACAACGTAACCTGGGCGGATCTGGCAGACCCAGCTCCCGGGGTGGAGTACCCCAAAGCTGGACACTTGTTTGCTGCCTTGCCGCTGGCTTTGGGGATTTTCGCCGTAAGGATTCTCTTCGAAAGGTTCGTACTTGCCACTCGTGTCGGGTGTTTTCTTGTAGGTTATGGGCAGTTCTCTTCACTTTATTTTAAAAGATATGTTTGATTGTTTTTTCACAAAAACGGAATGATGGGTTTGTTGGATGTGGGTGGACCGGTATCTTCGCACTGTGTGTTAACTCTGGGATTCCCAATCTTTTTTCTGTCAAACACCATGTCATCATTAGCAGTACTTCTGCTTACACAATAATGTCTCATTTTTATTTCCCTTCTCCGCTGCTTTTAGAGACAGAGGTGTGATTTGGCGCTATATAAATAAAATTGAATTGAATTGAATTGAATTGAAGGTGTGCATGCGACACTGTTACAACTAACTAACGTTACACGTTTTTTCGTGTACACCCCTTCTGAAAATCATGTCATTGATGTTTGGGTAACTCTACACTAGTTTGGTTAACAGTTAGTGATTAACAATCTGCTTATGTGTCTTTAGCAGCCCTTAACAGATGCGTGCATGCATGCGTGCTAGGGAGTACTGTCCTGCCAGCCTGCTGCTTCTGTGAAACTGCCACATCTTCTTGTCACATATATGATCCAAGGTATCCATCCAGTCCTAAAAAGGTTAAGTTGTGCTTTTGTTCAGGCTGCAAAAGGAAACGACAATAGTGTGATGGCATGGCATTCAACGCCAACACACAAAGCTCTTGGCTTGGTACACACTTGGATGCCTTTCTACTCAACTAAGTTGAGATGTCCTGAAGGCATTTTGCTTTGGCAAACTAGAGCAATGAGGTTTCTGTCATTCATTTGGCTGTTGTTGCATGGCTGAGATGTTGTGGAGTTATCTTTTTACTCACCCTCTTCCTCAAATAAAGATAAGTCCAAGGTTACTACTATAATACTGAGAAAGGAAATTACACATTAAGCAATTTCAGGGTAGGAGTAGGCTAATTGTAGGTGGGTCAGACTCGTGTCACAAGTAGGGGAGATGTAATTCCCCCACCAGTGAACCGTGATTATTCAAAAGTTCTCCTGCAAAACAGACTCTCCTCTGAGAGTTTTGGTGTTTTTATTTAGGCTTTTGGTCTGGGAAGGCGAGGGGTGATGGGAGTGCGCTGAAGATGAGATCCAGCTTAACATCGGCAGGCATTAAAGGAAAAGCTCTGCTGACAGGTGTGTTATTTTATTTGCAGAAAGTAAGACTCTTGTCAGGGAACAATGACGACAAGAAAACCATTTTCACTTATTTGAAGTCTCACTCAACAAAGAGTGTAGCCTACTGATTGACCTGATACAGTGGCGTCACCTATGTCCACACCATAGTTCAACGTTTCAGCAAAGTGTTTAGCCATTGATGCACTGACAGAAGTTTTGCCTATCTATAATCCTTATCTGTTTCCCGTTAATAAATCCTGAAAAACCTGTTATGGGTATCCTGTTTTTGCAGCTTCAATATAAACATATTGGACGAGTTTTTGAGCGCATTGAATCCAGTAAAACGGACATCACGGCAGACTATACACATGGCCCTAAACTTAAATTTCAGGTGGGGCTTTTCATTCTTTCTTAAGCTTAAACAAATGCTACAGCATTTTGTTAAAGCCAGTTCAAGGTTAAGTGTAGGGCTTTGCTGTATGGAGAAATATTGGAGATGTGATATAGTTGTTGGATATCTCAGTATAAGATAAGATAAAACAAATAAACAAATGTGTACTATTTCAGTTAGTGTTGGGCAACATGATAATATACCGCAAGACGATAGAAACGTGTCCAAAGTAAGGATATTTTTGTTGTGCTGAGGTAGCTATTGTTGCTATTGTAATATCTCTGATAGTTATGTGTCAATGTAATGAAATACTTTGATTTGTCAGGTATTCACAGGATTAGCAGACATCAGACATTCACTACTCATCTGGTTATTTTTATCTGTAAATTACTTACTAGAATTTCCAAGAAAGTGCATTATATCAGATACACGCTCAATACAAATAGTTTCTTATCCATATTGCCCTCCCCTAATTTTATTGATTCTTTTCATTTGTGGTTGGACATTCTGCAAGTACAGTATAAATGCACACACTTCCATTTCATCTTGGCATGGTATACCTCTGCTCTAAAAGCAGCTATACTGTCTGTGTTTCATTATAACGCATAACATAAGACGGTTGCAGTTTCTTTTGTTAGCCAACTGCACGGCTATAAAGTTATTTGATCAAGGTCCACATAATGATAAAAGAGCTCAGGAATCACCATTAGCCAGCTTTTTATAGTTGTCTGACTACACCTCTACTGTTATATGATACACAGGCTTCTTAACACTGTGGGCAGGAGTAATTTACATGAGTGATATTAAATATTTAAATCTGAATTGGGCAGATAGCAGGAGATAGCTTGTTGTCCCTCCAGGCATCATTTATAGAGTTGACACCTGCAGGTCAAGCCCCAAGCACAGCGTTAGGCTTTGTGTGTTTAACTGACAGGTCAGGTCACTTAGACATGGACAAATGGCTTTAAATAAGGAGCAATCAGATATTGGAGATGTCTTGCAGAGGCGGTCAATAAGATGCACACAGCGGCGAGCACCTGTCTCAGGAGCCAAAGCGGTTGGTCTGTCCCTCTCTCTAATGCAAGGCTATGCCTCGGGGAGAGGCTGATGTTATCAGAGAGCGTTTATTCTGTTGCCGCCCGACACATCGACCGGCTGGCTGCCTCATTCACTTATTTATGAGAAAAAAACATCACACAACCGCTTGAGTTCCTTTCTGCAGGACCTCAACACATGGTGTGCCGCTTGGCACACACACAGTGCACTTCATAAAACACAACACACACACACACACCTGCAATAAGAGGGTCAGGCATCAACATAGTTGCATGGTGATGAGGTGGGTTTTTGATGGGGGTATTTTCACGCTGCCATAAACACGTTTTGATTCATGGCCTAATTCCAGTTGTGCTTTCTTTTTTGTTTTTACATAGAGTTGCAAAGTGGGAGGGGATGCTGATTCTGGATGTGTTTTTCTCTATTTCCACATTTCAATTTTTTCTTTAAACAATATCCTCAATGTTACTTAACATATAAACACAGGACTATATATGACGATAATGTAACAATCCTATAGGTTTACATTATGGCCACCGCTTTGAATTATTTCAACCTAGTTTCTGAGAAATTATGTTTTGACCGCCTTCAGCTGCACACATAACAGAATTTTAAGCTGTTAAACTATTTTGCCAAATGAAATTTCAAGTGCTTACATTGCACACACTTGAACTATCTTTGGTGCTTCCACTTCAACTGAAATTTCAACTACTTTAAACCACTTACATGTCAACTGACTTCAGCTTCTGTTGTCTTTTACTCTTTAACTGCTTTAATGTCTTACTCCTCGAATGACAAATCATCCTCTTTCAGTGTTTACATGTCCACTGACATTTCATCTGCATCCATCTCTCCCTCTTCAAATGACTTTTCTCCTTTCAAAGCTTGCGCTTTCACACTTCCAGCTAGAGCTGTGATGATTAGTCGATTGCCAGAAAATGAATCGGTAACTATTTTTATAATCTATTTATTTATTTCAGTCCTTTTCAAGCAAAAATGTCAATCCAATTCCCAGGTTCCAGCTTCTCAAATGTGAGGATTTTATGCTTGCAGCACTTCACCATTTTAACTCCTTGTAAGTGTTTGTATTTCGACTGTCACTTCAACCACAACTTTTGTTTTCAACTACTTTTCTAGTTTTAGTTATGCTCACAGAACCTGTTTGTGTATCTTACTCAATCTGTGTCTCACAGATTTATCTTGGACAACTGCAGTAGGTAATAACAAAGCCCTAAAGATGAGAGAATGCAGTTCTGTCAGTCTGTAACGGTGGAGACAAGAGTGACACATGTTTGTTTTTTTCTTAATTCAACTTATCAACGTCTTACATTTCTCCAGCCTCTGCCGCTGTGTCTCCAATCATATTTGCCTTTGTCCTCGAAGGGCATCATTTTTACACGCATTCATCAAGCGTATCTACTGGATTCCTCTTCTACCTGCAGGCACTTCCTGTTTCTATCTGATGTGATTGTGGTCCTCGGCCCCACCAGCCCTTCCTCTTCTAGACCAGTTTCTTCTTGTTTGATCGTAATCTCCGCTGTGCTGTTGGCAGTGCGTGTGTGTGTGTGTGTGTGTGTGTGTGTGTGTGTGTGTGTGTGTGGTGTGTGTGTGTGTGTGTGTGTGTGTGTGTGTGTGTGTGTGTGTGTGTGTGTGTGTGTGTGTAAGCCTAGGCCCTTCTAAGCCAAGTCATGGGTTAAGCAGTGTTAAAACTACATACTGAGATATGTATGAGATTATGAGCAGCCAGACTTGCCATGTAATCTGTTGTGCTGTGTTTTCTCATAAACTGACTGCCGGGTATTGTCTCTTGTCAGAACCCTGAAGAAAGTCAGGGTAGATAACGAGCAAATGTTGATGTGAAGCATTAAACATCCTCATTTACTGTTCAGATTATTGCCCAAATAATCTGGCATTATCTCCTCTCAAAGTCATGTGTGCTCCGCAGAACTGTCATTTCTGTTTTGAAACATGCTTCAATGTCACAAGTCAAATCAAGGCCAAACTTGCATGCAGTACTGTGCTATGAATAGAGCCATGCCTGTGCCTCAGGCTAGGTCCTGGGAGTGGGTTTTCCCAGTGTCAAGGTTGTGTATAGCTTGTGGCTCTTCCCTTCACAGCTGTCAGACCCACTAGGGTCCGTGTACATAGACCACGCTGAGCCTGTTTCTTGGAAACAGGCTTTGTGTATGTTGGAGTGGTCAGGTTCTGAGGAGGAGCAGGGATGTTTTTTTGAAGTTTTAAATAAATAGATTAGCTTGCGTCTCTCGCTGTTTTCCCTCCTGTTGCTACTGGCCGCTGATGAGCACTACAGCCTTGGGCTTGCGTGGGTTATTTCTGTCGCTTTATCCTAAATGTGAAAGGCCTGTGCTCACAAGAGGACCCAGACTGTTGCATGTATCTGTGCCACATCAGATAATCTTTC